AAAGGCAACCTAACAGCACAGCCCTCTAAAAATATGTGCCAAATGATCTGATGATTTCAGGTGGGTTGTTGACAGCCCCCGCTTGAAGGCTTGTTGAACTTGTTCTATGCCAGGATGAGAAAGAAAATATAATCACTTAAAAAAACATTAATCCTCCAGAAACTGCTTCCCACTGCTAGGCTGCACAAAAGACACCGCACAAATGGATAGCTAATGACTTCAATACGCAGTGATTGCTGCACTAACCAACAGAACAAATGGCACAAGACATCATATGCAGGACTCACAGCATTTAGAAAAATATGATCATGTGACCAAAGAAACCTATGAAGCTATATCACCACAGCAAGAGTCTTATATTAAGAAGAAAAAAATGCATGACAGGTTGCACAGAGAAAAATAATGTTATGTGCCAGAAGACTGCAAGGCCTGAACTCTGAAGCGCACTGTCATAACAAAAATACGCTACAAACTAAAGATATGTTCAGCTTTAACTTCAATAATGCTACTGCATGGAGTTGGTTTCATAAGTTCACAGGTCAACCTGTATGTATCCATTAGTTCAAATAATCAAAGCAGAGGTTAAGACTACAGTGCTTAGAGCAGGTACAATAGCAGGCTATTAGCCAGCTACAAACATATTTTAATGAGATAAACGATGAGAGAGAAGAGCAGCGGGCTACAGATCTGTAGACTGTAGCCAGCTACAGCATGGACTCCAAGACGCAATGTGCGTATGACGGGTGGGACCATATATTAATAGTATAGTAAGCAACTATTGTATGAATTGGCTATTAGATTGACTATAGATGAATTGGAGCTAATAGTGGGCTATACTATTAAACTTGCTCTTAGTATATTATTTCTGCAAGTATACCTTTAACGCAAGCTCTTCAAAGCATTTCTCCACATTTTCTCTTGTTTTGGCACTGCTCTCAAGAAAAAGACATCCAGATTCCTGGGCAAAGGCAAGACCTTCTTCCCTTGTCACCATCCTTTCCTCATTCTACAATGTAGAATTATCAAATATCAGAACCATGCACTGCCATTTCATCTTAGGTGCTAACTCCTATAAGAAAAATGGCCTCGATCATTAACCTCTTCCTTTGTTTGGTAACAATCTAATGCCATGTGTATTGAAAATTTATTTTCTTCCCGCATGCCAACTATAATAGCTGTACTCTGAAATTGTCAACCTCACTTATGTAATTACACCAAATGCTATCTATGATAAGGTGCTGAAGTGATACTATAAACTGTACAGTGTTACAGAAAGTGCTATAACATGTTATCGATGAACCAATAAATACTTATATTTTAGAAATGGGGAAGCATCAACAGCAGCTGAAATGGAACAAGGTTCCCACCAAATAATAATTTGATTTAAATAGGCAAACAATGATTACCTTGTCCACCTTGTTCCCGACAAGCATTTTGATGCACTCTTTATTTGTCGAATGCAATTCTATTTCCTTGGCCCATACATCAGCCAAATTTGTGAAACTTTCTCTCTTTGTGACATCATACACTAACAGAAGAAGACAGCAGAAAGTTAAACTTCCATGAATTAACCAGGAACACTTTTTTCCAGAATAAAAGAGCAAGTAAACATATTATTCTTCCTACAAATTAGGTTGCAACAGAAGTTTTTCAATTTCCCAGATGCAACATAAAAAAAAGAGGGTTGTTTGAGACTTGTTCATACATGGTCATAGTAAATTTTCACCTCAGTGGAAAAGAAAACCCATGATATCAGCACACAAATACTGAGTAAAACAATGAAGCGCCATGGTGATGGAAAGGAAGCAACTGTCTAATAGCAAATACAACTAATTTGTGGCAGGATATTCTAGTCACTAGATCGTTCAGGAATCACACTATTAAACTATATTAAAAAGATCCTGTATCAGAAAAATAATGATGGCAAACTGACAATGCAACACCACGTTGGAGCATGCACACAATATCAGAGATAAAAGTGACCTAAAATGTGATACATGGATGCAATACGAGCAACTTTCAGAGTTGATATGCCCTAAGTGACAGTGAGATTGGTATAAAAATGTACTGTAGGCATGATAAATGCTTAGAAATATTGATGGTCCTGAACATAAGTTGGGAATAGAATTACCTAGAATGATGCCATGGGCACCTCTGTAGTAAGAACTTGTGATTCCCCTAAACCTTTCCTGGCCAGCTGCAAGCAATAAAAAGAAGTCCATGAACAATTGAAATCTTTTGAAATCATTAAATAACATAAGCTACAGAAGAACAGGATTGAGCCAACAAATATCATGCAGCAAGAACAGTTGAACTTTACAGGAGAAAAACCAAAGCCTTTTCTTTGTACTAGGAGTATTACTTATTTCTACGTATGCAATGGAAAGTGGAAACAGCTTTTTTCATAGGCCCCTTTCTGGGTACAATGAAGCTGCCTTTGGGGTAAAAGGCAAAGGCAGCTGCTTTCCAACATTAAAAAATATTGACAAATCAACAGGAGAACACCATTTTCACAAATAAACATGTACGGAGTAAAAAACAACTTACCAGTGTCCCATATTGTTAGCTTCAGTTTCTTCCCATTGACAGTGAGAAATTTGATTTTAAAGTCAACCCCTGATAAATCAATGTGGAAACAAGGTAAATTCGTAGAAGTAAATAGAATGAAGTTATAGGTAGTTCAACAAAGAGGGCACACTTATACAGTACATGAACATGAGCTGGATTCCTGCCACTGAAGTGATAAACCTTTACCTTATTATTCCAGAATGAGCACATATAGAAGGTTTTGCCCCATTAACAATTTAGATCTGAATAATTTTCAAGCATGACTCTTGAACAAATTCACTACTGACAATTCATGCATAGTAGTTAGTACGATTACAATTCATAAAAATCTTGAGGAGAGTTCAGGATCAAGCTTTCCGCACAGTTAGTTTTGTAGTAGTGTTAAAATTAAGAGGTAGTGCTATCCATTCAGTTGCCGTAAACCGCTGATCACTTCTTTTTTACTGATTCTCTAATTCCGCTGATAACTTCTTTTTTACTGATTCTCTAACTTCACACAAAGGAGCAGACATGCATGATATGTGCTACTGCTTAGTTGACGGTTTCACACCTAGACGACGTAACAAATCCAAACGTGTCCCTTGGAATTAGGCTTGTCGCAAGCAAGGTCACTCTCAATTAGATCATCAATACATAGACAGATCGCAAAACAATCAGTAAGCAGTAGTAGTAGTGTACTACGGGCTACAAGGTGCGTGAAACAACAGTACCACAGAGATGTCCACAGCTTGGTTACTCCAGTGTTTGGTGATCCCTCTACACCGAACCGAGAATTGTACCATCGTCATCGCATCTTTCAACAAAGGTAGGAGTACGCACATATTTTACGTCTCTATTAACAGGAAACTAATACAGTATATAATAGAGACAAAAATTAATTGCCGGCGTCGGCTTGTTCCCTGATCGGGACAAGGCAAGGAAGCGGACATATTGAGCACAGGAGGAGGAGGCAGGAATCAACGAGATCCAGAGAGGACGGGGGGAAGGCATCCGTACGCACCTATGGTGGGAGCGATTTCGTCGTCGATGTGGGAGGCGGAGACGAAGCTGACGAGCAGACTGCTCTTGCCGACGGCCGAGTCCCCGATGAGCAGGATCTTGAAGGAGCAGTCGTAGCTGCTCGCCGGTGAAGAGGCCATGGCAAGGGAAGGAAGGGCGCGTTGCTCGCCCCGCTCGCTCGCTCAGGCGTGGATCGAATCGCGGCGGGCAAAGCAAAGCATCCGGACGCGAATGCCGGCGGGTTGGTGCGCGTCTGCGTGGTGTGGAGGAGAGAGAGAGAGGTGGGAGGAGTGGGAATAAAGCAGGCAGCGAGGCTCTTCGATGCGAGGAGGAAAGGCGGAAGTCAGAAAGCGAAACGGAACGACGATAGATGATGCGTCGGGTGGTCTACTTTCATCAGTTACGGTTTGACGACTCGACTCGACGCGACGCGACGCGACGGCCACGGGGGCTGCGTGTGGGTCCGAGGCCCGGATGCGCCCGCGCGGACGCCGCTTTGGCCAGGTGTCTCCGCGCCGCACCGCGCTGTCTCGCTTCCCGCGCGGCACGCGTCGTCGTGGCGTTGGGGCGCACGCCACCGCGCGCGAGGGGAGTAGTGGTGTGGATTGTGGAATCGGCGCGAGGCCACGGCCCACGGGTGCGTGCGTGCGCGGTGCAGCCGCGGCCGTCAGCGAGCAGCGAGAGTGCGAGACGCCGAGACGGAAGCGCAGCATACGCGGCTGCGTGGTGGGGGCACTGGGATGTTCGGAGAAATCGAGCGTTGCGAGCCGCGCACGTGTAACGTTTTTCCAGGCGCGGTGCGGGGGATCGGCGCGCGTGGGAGGGGGGAGACGTCAGACATGTGCCGTGCGGCGCGCTCCCGCTCGCTCAGCCACTTCTCGCGGGGGCCGCGTCGTGTTGTGTTGGACGTGGTGGCGACCGGGGGCGGTGTCGCGTTCGCGCAGGCGAGCGAGGACGGAGGCGTGTGCTCGAGAACTGGAGCGCTTGGATGTAACGCTTTTTTAGCCGTTTGCTATCACGTCGCGATGCTCGCCTCAGGAACTGATTTGGGCACGATCGATTGGTCCTAGTCTGGCTCCAAGAGTGTGGCTAGAATTATATCTTTCAGTTGCATGTCAACCTCATTGGCAAAACAAGATCGAGCCACTCCCTTCTGCCTTCGTGCTGTATGTTTTCCTAAAATTCAAGGGTATAATTAGGATGCATCCTAAGTGATGACCGATGATGAATATAGTCAAGTTTATGATGACTTGTAAAAAAAAATTAAAATGTTCATAAAAAAACTTAACAAACATGCCACGATTGCCTTCGATTGGTTATTTGCAACAAACAACGTCGACGTCTTCTTTAGGGTCACAGGGTGGTGAACTGGTGATGATGGTGATCAGTGTCACAGGAAGGATGCTTTGTAAAGTGGACAACGCACACGAGGCTTGATGATCATACCGCTACTTCTTTATTTCAATCTCGTAAGCACCGGCATGCCAATGAACGACGAGCACATTTCGTTAGTTCCTTTTTCTTTGCGAGAAATACCTCACCGGCGAAAGCACAACGCGATAAAAATCACGGTAATGATAAAAATCATCTCGATGCAGAGTCCTGACTGGCGCTTGCGGCCAAGGCCCAGCAGGCAAGCAAAGTCGAAATCCGCCTAAAGCACAACGCTGGGCCAGATTAGCACCAGACCGGCCTACTAGGGGGAACAAACCATGGACGAGCCCAAATTTCAGAACAAACGGTTGTTTGCGTTTTGATGGGCTTTGAGACTAATCACAGGCTGCAAATCTTTTTATTGGGCATTTCAGACTGCAGAGAGCAGTGCAAATCTCTCGCTGTTCTTCGGAGTTCAGACTAGCTCTCATCTCACTGTTCTTCAGAATTCAGACTCTGGAGCACGCGGCAGCAGGGGCGGCTCTTGTCTGCCGGGTGTTGTAAGAGCTGCATCCGGGGCACTTGTGTCCCAATATGTGGAATTGCACGTTCGATGTCGTCCCACAGTCGTTGCATAGGATCCATATCTGACAGAGCCAAAAAAACCACAAAAACTTTTGTTCAGCGTATAGTTACCTGGTTGGACTGAAGAACACAAGTAACTGAATTTACATACCATTTTCTTCTGATAGATCACTGGCATCGGCGATGCTGCAACCTGAGTGAAGAGTTATTTGGATGGTGTTCTATGCATGTATGTATGTATGTATATGTACATGGTCAGTGTCAATGGATAAGCTGTGCAATGGGAGAAGGAAAATGCACCTCTTGATCAAGCTTTTGCCATGCATGGGACATGTCACAAGCAGACCTCAGGCAGACCGGGCAAGAGAATCTGGCGAAATGTCACAGATTGACACCATAGTCAGCAATCAGTTGGGAGAGGCCATGGTGTAAGTCTTATCTGTGATTACTTACTGTTGATGGGATCTCATCTCGTATAGGCATTCCAGATGGATCGTGTGTCCGCAGTGCAGTGCACTGATGTCTTTTGTTGAGTCAAATAGATACTAGCACAGAAACAAATAAGGGAATTTATTTTAGTAGAATACAGAAAATTTCAGAGTCCATGGTTTCTCTGACAACAAATATTTACCTCGAAGCATACAGGGCAGTTATGGTGCATTGCTCTTTCCACACAATGATGGGAATCCTTCAGCACATAGCTGTAGCAGCATCCTGATAACCACAATATTTGTCAATGCAAATATTTACTAATACCAAAATCTGAAATTGATGAAATCACTCGACCCTAAACATACCGCATTTGTCACAGTGAAAGAAGTTCTCTGCACCACCAGTTCTGTAAAATGTGATGGTGAGATTTATCAAAAAGGGCTCATATTTCATTACTCCGTCACAGGAATGCATATTTAGCACAACTTGCCTGCATATGCCACATCCATCGCAGTGAAATTGGTTCTTTGATACCTGGAACAAGAGCGAGAGCCACGCAAGTCAGAGAAAAGAACAGAAATACCACCCAAAAAATATAATCAAAATGCTATTTAGTTTCATTAACAGCACAAGGTTCAAATGTTCTTTATGTGCTTACATCGTCATCATAAAAGTTGCATTTTGCGCAGAAATATTTACCCAAGCATGCCCCACAATTGGAGCAATCCTGTTGTACCTACAAATCAAAAGGCGGACGAATTTTATGTGATGGGAACAGCCAAATCTGATGACACCTGATAAACACTATTCTTACTAGTTTTTTTTTTAGATAATGACTATTCTTACTAGTTATTGGCAACTTACATCCTGTTCTTTGTTGCAGAGAGAGCAGATAACCTGTGATGAGGAAGGTAGAACAGTCTCAATAAGATCACTATATGGTTTGGTGGTATCTCAAAAAAAAGGTCATTATATTGGTGGAGGAGGCTCATTATGATTAAACAACCAAAAGTGGCGAAAGGGGAGATAGTGACTTGTATCCATATCCACAAAAGAACAGACTTTGCCCGTTTCAACCATACAAGCAGTCGCAGATTCTGAAATTTGATAACGGCTATTGGTTTTACTCCAGCTGTCTTCTCTACTTAATCTGTGCAGTTATTTGTGACCTGGTGACTTTTTTTACGCTGAGTTTAAAACTAGATTCTATGGGCACGTAGTGAAATATTTTTTTTTTTTAGATAATGATCTAGTATGAACATTTTCAGATAATGATCTAGATCGGACATGCAACCAATTCAATCTTTAGGATATGAACTTGCACTGTTAGTTATAGTTCATTCAGTCTTTGAGTAACTTCTGAAACACCAGTTATAGTCAGCCATCAATAATAGGAGTGTGTAGTTGATGGTACAATCTATTCTTTTGCAACTATGCTGTGCTTCAAATCATCCTGAGTTCTTGACTAACGGTGAACCATGCCTACAATAGTTTCTCCCACTTGACTATTCTCTTACATGGTCTTAGGATAGGTCTCATCCCATGCTAGGTTGCTATATTCTGGGACGGAGAGAGTACTTAATATGGAGGACGCACCTATACTGCTGCACGGACACATTAAGTAGCCAAAAAAATCAACAGAATCTGGCTAAGTATCTACTCTCTCCTTGTCCTAAAATATAAACAATTTTAGAAAATTGCAAAGTCAAACATTTCTAATTTTGACTATTAATGACAAAAAAAATCAATCATGTAAAATTGATGCTAATAGTTTATCATTAATCAAACTATCATAATATACAACTATTTTTATTTAAAATATTTTATCTTTATACATATTGTTGATCATAATAATATCTCGAAAAATGTGTCGAAATCTAAAAAAATGCTTATATTTTGAGACGGAGGGAGTATACAGTAGTAGTGGATAAGCGTACAGTAGAAAAGGAAAAGAAATTCAGGATGGAACTGAAGCAGCAGTAATCAATCATTTCCAAGAATATTGGGCAGCGCAAATTACTAATATCATGTCCGACACGACAGTTAGCATCAAATGCAGCAAAATATCCGATAAAGTAACAGCGATAGTGATACGCTGGAAAGGGCAGCCAAAATAACTGGACAGGGACACCGACCAGCTTGATTTCATGGCGAGGGATCTCGTGCCGGTCGCTGATGCTGACCTCCAACGAGTCCTGTAACAAAGTAAGCAGAACAATAAGGTTTTTTTCTCCTAGCCAGAGACAATTCAAAGCATGTAATACTGAGACAAGGAAAAAACGGTGATACCTTCGCTTCGTTGTGGCAGTGCCTGCAATCGAAGATCTCGCCGCAGCAGGGCGCCCTTATCTTGCATTTCCTCCTGTAATGCACGCATCTTGCATATGGAAGAGGAAAAAAAGGAGGAGAAACAAACGAGTGATCAGTAACGACTTGCTAGTAAAAAAGATCCACTGCATCCACAGGAACGGAGACATGATGAATGGTGCTTACCCGTACTGCTCGACTGCCAAGTCCATCTCCATTTCTCGCAGCTTTCCTCGAACTGATGATCCACTAACTGAATTCTCAGGTATTGTAGCTCTTAGCACCTGAAGAGAGACCAAAAATGAAGAAGCAAATCAACTCAAAACTTCTTGCTCTGCTCTGCATCTCTTCTCAGGTTTTTCACCTCCTCTGAATCAGCTCGGCCATCTCGCCGCCGGCCACCACAGACCAGACCGACGACGAGACACCAAACAAAACGCAAGGTAGAACAAGAAACCAAGACGCGAAGCAGCTGCCTCTCACCGTACTTAACGCCAAACCCGAGAGAGAGAAAAAAAAACAGAGCCGCACGGACGAGCCACACGGCACCGTCCCACGTAGTACCTGCGTGCGCCGACCACCGGCCAACCCGATGATTTCGCGGCCACGGCAGGAGACAGCCGCAGCAGCAGCAGCCGCACTCGGCCGGCACCGAGTCGTCCTCCACGCTTGCCAAGGGTCTCCTCTCTCCTCGCGGAGGGAGACCGACTGCCCGAGCGAGCGAGCACGAGCACGGCCTGCGCCTGCTGCACGCACGGCTCGGCGCACGGCTGCACCCACGGTTATATATTTGGGTAGGCGCGGCGCGGCGCGGTTTAAAGAAGAGGAGAAAAACGAGGGGGAGAGGGGGTCGCGTAGCATTCGGTGGCGCTTGGTCTTTATGTGACGCAGTAAATAAAGTAGTCGGGCGGGCCGCGCGTCACCCACCCGCGTGCGGCTGCCCATCCCATCCTCCCCCAAACCTTTGACATGTTCGGGCCGTCATCTCGTCTGCCGACTTTGGCCGTCCTGTGGTCGATGATGCTTGATGTTGCGCTCGCCTCCTCCTTGCAGCGCGAAAACTGAATGAAGTGAGTGTCGTGCTGTAATTTTATCAGTGTAATCATGGTTGAAAGTATTGTTGTCCGAAGTTGTTGGCAGATACGGAGTACCCCTACTTGGGGTTGGTCATAAATCTGCTCGTCGATGCCTTTCAAAATGCGGAAAAGTAAAGCTGGTCATTAATCGCTGGATCGTTACTGTATGTCAAGTTCCTGTGCCTGCTTGAATGCATTGTTTGCTGACGACCGGATTATCCTTATGCAACGCGTTGTTCCGACCTGAATGATCTCGTACACCTTGGTACATGATGTCGGCCATGAGGCCATCCTCTGTTCCCGTCGAGCTCTCTGGCATTACACCGTACACGAGATACCTTCTCGGGTTTTCTTGGCCAAAACAGAACCTGGTATTTCTACTGCATGGTTTCCTGTCGAGAGAAGCAACTGTTGCTTCTCTGAACCGGAAGTGCGCGTCTTTCGTAAAAGCAGCTCCAACCTTGCTCCCCAAAAAAAAAAACACTAGTGAAAGCAGCTTCAACTTAACATGTCCCAAAGCCATTTGACCTGCAAACTAAACTAATCAAGAATCAGCAGAATGTACCGTCTGGCAGAATCTTCAGCCTGAGAATTGAGGCATGCTATCCGAGTATCTGAGCAACTAGAATGATCGTACCATTTGTTAATGCAGTTCTATACAGATTGGGCAGCCTGAAAGCAATCCTCTGCCTGCCTCGAATTTCACCTTCTCATCGCGTTTGATCGTCTACCTGACGCATCTCAGTATGACCGACCGGATCAAATAAAATGAGAAGAAGAGATGAAGAGGCGTGTATTCAGGTTCGAGTTGGTGCCGATGCTTGGTAAACAAGTGCTGCGAGTTGCAGGGTAGGGTGTCTTGCAGTTGCAGGTAACCATCAGCTAGCTAGCTCGATGGTGCAGTTCATGGGATGTGGAGCAATTTTCTTGTGTTCTTTGCGATGTATTGGAAGTGCGTCATGTGCCATGGTTTTCTTTAATCTTGTAAGGCCGACCTGCAATTTGCAACTAAAAAGACCATGGAATGGATGTGTCGTTTTCCATTGAACTGTATATAGTAATGTTGTTACTCTCACCACCACACGGTCTGCACTGGTTTTTTTTTAATCCTTGTTGTGTTGTCTCACTGTTTCTGTATCATGATATTATCAAACGAAGCAGTGGCTCATTTTTAATCTTTGCTTTAATCTTGACGAAGCAAGATATAGTGACACGATCGTAAAATTGTTATTTTTTAGCATTTATATTTTTATATTTTCTATACCAAGTTCCTCCTTTGGTTTTGAGGCACTCCCTTCGTACCATAAAAAAACAACCTAGTATAAGATGTGACATATTCTAGTCCTACAAATCTGTACGTAGATTCGTTTTTTACGGCACAGAGGGAGTACTTTTTTTAATATGTCATATGATTTTATGTAAAATTTATATGGCTATTATATTTACGAGGGAGGGGAGGCCGGGAGGGTTTGGAGATTGGGGGTAGGGGATGGATGTTTTGCAGAAAAACCCTATACTTTTCATGTTTAGAGCGCTACCCCTAGAATCGGAATTTTCTCTTCTTCACATTGTATTTCATTAGAAGACAAGGGGGTTTCCGGATAAAATATGATGGGCTGTCAGTCGATTCAAGGATCTGTGTAATATTTTGTACAAAAACGATGAGCTTTTTGCAAAAATAGTCAACCACGCTTATCCTTCCCCGAGGAGCTGAAAAAAAATTCCAAAAAAGGAGAAAATTTGTACGGTTAGGGGAGTTATTGACTTTAGATGTTGCATTCAAACATATCTTATAAAAATTTCTCCATATTTTTCTACAGTTTTGATAACCGTTTTCTTTATTTTTAAGGTTTGTGTTTATTGTGTTCAAATAAAAAGCAACTAAAAAAGTTGTGTTTAAATGATTACTATTGTGAAAAATGTTGCTAATAATTGAGCCTAGCTGTCACCGAGAAAAACCATACGATCTGAACGTCCATTTTCCATCCAACGTTTCGAGATACTACAAGTAGTTCAGCCGCCAGCTAGGTTTTCCCCCACTTGCTCAACCCCGCCGTCACTATCTTCATCCGCCGTCCCGACGCCGCGAGCCCAAACCCCTAACCCCGGAGAGCCTCCTCGCCGCAGATGGCAGTCCCCGGCCGCCGCGACGACCTCGTCGGCGACGACCTCGTCGACGACGACGGGATCGGCGAGGAGTACATGGCCCCCTCCGACGACGAGGAGGCGCAACTGCCTGACGAACTCTTCCGCCTCGCCGACGCCGCCCAGTCCGGCAACGTCGCTGCCCTCCGCGCCGCGCTCGGTACCGAGGCTTAAATCCTGTGCACTCTCTCCCAATCCTCGAGTTTTTCTAGGGTTATTATGTAGGATCGTTCGATTGGATTGGGGGTACGCATGTTGGGTAGGTTGGTGTTGGTCCTTACCTATGCAGCGCAATTCTAGATTTGCCCTTCCGTGTTTGTGGATCAGCTCCTGTAGTAGTTCAACCTGAACTGTGGTAGTCTGAAGTTTGTACTGGATGTTTCTGGCCTATGGGTTTGAGTCGTTTCTGCAGAGGCCCTATGTGATGCAAAAACAGTATCGGCTTGAAAAATTGATTGCCACTATTACATAGAAGCAGCTTGAATTTTAGTACAACTCTGTGTGCAGGCACTTGGTATTTTAATACGAGTCTGCATATGGACTAGACTAGATGGAGACATGCTTTTGAAATATAAAAAACAAGGCTAATTATATCTTTTTTTAGTTGAAATCTATAGTACCCCTTTGTTGGAAAACGTGGTAAACTGGTGATTGAATCTAAAAGTAGCACCTGACCATGCACTTTTTGTGATATTTGTAACTGTTGTGTGTCTAGTTATCTGCATTTGATGTAAAGTTAGCTTGGCGTGTTGTGCCGAGGAAGTGATGGGATAACGTTAGTCACATAAATCTTTTCTTATTATAGTAAAAAAACAGGTTTGAAAATAGCAGAACATAATCCCTTTTGAAAATCCACAACAATGCCAATTTCTTCTTTGCCCAACCCATGAAATTTTGTCCTGGGCAATTCATGTAATTTGAAGGGACAACACTAGTTTGTGAATCTGTTATCTTGTTCCTTTTTTACCTGCATGCTATGTTCCTATTAACCTTCATTGGATGGTTTTAAATCTTTGTTTCACTTTCAACACCAATTTGTGGTTACCTTGATTTTTTCTGATGATGTATTCTCTATTCTTCAGTTGTATATTCGGAACAGTGAACTTCCGTGCATACATAGGCTGTCCTGGTTGATTCATCTGTTTGTGTTTGAAACTTATCAAGTTGAAGAGTAGTAGTTTTCCCCCATTAATTTTCACAGAAGCTGCACTGAAACGAAGCACTTTGCTATTGATTGGGTAGAATTGAGTTCAAAAACTGTTGCCAATGCTTTGTATTTTCCATTCTTTTCTAGTGAGGGCTTTAATAAGTCATGTCCTTATGGCATTCTTAACACATTGCTGCAATCCTGTAATGATTACATATGTGTGATGCTTTCACCATGCTAACCATCTCAGTGTGTTGTGGCAAATCTATTTCGTTTTTCTAAATTTCATAGCAAAAATGATTCCATTCTTAAGGTACCTCACTTTTTTTTTTCTGTTGGCTCATTGGACAATTACTTGCAAGTGGAAGCTGCTATCAGCAAAAGCATTTGTACACAGATGATTGTTGTAGATGCAGATCTTTCGTTAAAATCCTATTGATATGTGTATGCAGATAATTATTCTGGCAACATTGATGATCCAATAGAAGATGGTGATACTCTGCTTCACATAGCATGCTTATATGGCCATCTACCTTGTGTTCAGGTTAATGTTGTTATCTTGAATTATTTTTGCTCTGCTATTAGTTGTATCCTAACTGTGGTTATCTTATCAGCTACTGTTGGAACGTCAAGCTAGCTTGGAATGCAAAGATGAAGAAGGAGCAATTCCTCTTCATGATGCTTGTGCTGGAGGTATGGATGTTTATTATGCATTGCGCTCTGGCTATTTTTATCCCTTTTGTTGGCAGTTTGTATGTGTAATCTAATAAACACTTTTCATGTAGGCTTTAGTGATATAGTCCAGTACATTTTGAATTTTGCTGCGAACATTGATGGCTGCGTAACAAGAATGCTCAACACTGTTGATTCTGAAGGCGACACTGTAAAGTTTCTTGAGCTTTAAGTATTACATGAACCATTTTTTCAGCTAAATGCTATCAGCATGATGTATAATTTCTGCAATTACTCCGTGCAGCCACTCCATCATGCTGCCAGAGGGGAACATCTGGGTATTGTGGATCTCTTGCTTAAAGCTGGGGCATGTGCCAAGAAGGAGAATACTTATGGCCAGGTCCCTGCTGAGATGGCTGATGAAGGCACTGAAGTCCGGAAACTGTTAATTCAAGAGCAAGTTGAGGCCAGCACACATACTAGCAATTAATTGACGTATGGCAATCCTTAGTTGAAATTGGTAAAATGAGTTACTGTCAGGCTGAATATCTGTAGTCATTGGAACTGTGTAGTGGTATGCGGGAAACATCGGCAAACCATCCATCACCACCCTTTTGTTTTGTATTGGCTTGTTGCCATCTGCCTCTATCTTTCTATTTCGTATGTTTGGGCTTGCTTGATGTCTAGCAAGATTTGTGAAGAATCATTTCATCAATAGTTGATAGATCCATGACGACCTGGGAGCATTGATTGGTATGTGTATCCTGCCATGTCAGGAAGGTAGTCACTGTACCATCCTCAAATCCTCATCCATGCCGTATCTGTCGATATTTTCTTCTTTTTTTTTCCTGCGATAGAACTTGTACATTGGAAAAATGTCATAGTTCGTTAATTATCAGGGTTGATGATACACGATGCTACAGTATCTGTGCTGTATGAAGCATGCCATGAACCTTATCCATCTGGGTATTTAGATGTGCAATGTGTCATATTATGGATATTTTGAAATTCAATCCCGATCAATTCAGTCAGAAAATCGTATTTGAGTGGCTTGGGTAGTCTATGGCGGTGCAGCCCGCTAAACGAGTCCGAGTCGGACTGGCCCGTTCGACCGATATAAGCGGACGGCCCATCTGGCCATCTCTTGTGAGATCAATTGCCGATCCGCCACTCTCCCAACCACGACGATGGCGGCGGTGCAGCGCCTTCCCCTTCCTCCCGCCGCCCCTCCTCAGCCGTGCCGCGGACGATGGAAGACGAACGAGACGAACGGGTCGTTTCCATGGACGGAACGTACGACGCCGACGAGAAGCCCGTGCTTCTTTTCTCTCGCGGCGACGGCGTTGTCCGTGTCCACGATCTCCCGTCGCTGAAGAAGAGAGGGGATATTCTCTGCTACGACGAGGTCAAGACGATATCCATCAGGTCGCGCGGCGTCGTCTTCACCGGAGATGCGTCCGGCGAGGTCAGAGTGGCGAAGTGGACATGACCGGGTGATCAGCTGAGGCACAAGCTTGAATTAGTTTAGCTCTGACCTGCAAGTTTTGCTTTGTGGTCTCGTGATCCAATATTCGGATGTGTCATGTGCTGTAACGTGGTAAACAGAGGAACCGATACGCGGCTTGTGAATTGTGATACTACTACCTCCGTTTTGTAACGGTGTGAGGCTCCAATCTTCTCAAAATTTCAGTTTGAACAAACAAAGGTATCCCCAACGAAGTATTTGGTTCAACAGAAAGTCGTTGAAAAAAAATCGAAGTAAACCGGATGAATTTTTTGGTTTCCATTCCTTCAACAAAATTTCGTTTAAAGATCGGTGTAAACCGGTGGAATTTTTTGTTTTCCATATCGTGGGGAAAGGTGCAGGCCTAAATGGGCCGTTTTATTGGGTCGGAATGAACACCATCCCGTCCCGTCCCACGTATAGCCCGCAAGCGCACCGGCGCGAGAAGGGCGGGGTGCGAGATAGCGGTGTCGGGACTCGGGAGGAAGAAGAAGGCGGGGAGGGGGGCAGAGCGGAGGAGCAGGCGGCGACGCAGCATCGCCGTTTCTCTCTCCTCGCCTCTCCAAATCGCTCGAATCCCCTCCCCCCAACTTCTCCATGGATGCCGTCAGCATCGCGATGGCGGCGGCGCCGGCCGTGATGAGCCGGCGGCCAGCGGCCGCCCAACTGGGACGGCTCCGCTACTATTTTTTCCATGGTTTCTCGGCTCACATCTCGTCTTACTTGCTCTTATCTCGTTACTGCTTTGTTGTTTTTTGCTCTCATCTCGTTACTGCTTGTGTGCACTTGTGTGGTTTTGGTAGGGTTTTCTCCACCCCCAACTCCGATCGCGGTAGTTCCCCAAGACTGCTACTACGACCCAATACTCTTCCCGCAACAACCCGATGGTATGATTCCATATCGATTTTGAACATCTGGCGACACATTTTTGACCCGAAATCACTCGGATTTGCTTCCCTTGGATTAGTCTTTGTATGATTTAATTAGCGGTTGTGATGCGTTTCCTTCTCTCTTTTTTTTCGAACGCTGGAAAAGGATTGCACGTTTCCTTCCCACGCACGCATGAGGCCAGCAACATCTAGCTTGGCATAGAATTGATGAGTACACGCATTACGCGTCGATGCGGCTAGGTTAAGAGATTGAAGAAACTACAAACATTAATTGTGTCGCTGCGGGGATCCTACGACCATCACGATCGCGCACACATACCTTTCTCACTCAGTGGTAGGTGTTTATTATATGGGATGTGACTTACATGCTAGTTACATTGTAATTACAGTACATTAGTATTGTAGTTACATCCGTGTGATTTTAATGAAAAAAAATTGTCGGGTGATATATTGGTAATCCTCTCAGCCCGTGAATGTAATTGTTAGTCCTCTTAATTGTAATTGCAATCAAAGATATATCCTGTGAATATAGTTGTGATGATGATCTTTCCTTATAAAAATATGGTTCATACTGCAAGGTACCTAGTACTGGAGTTATGTTTGCAAAGCTCAATGCTGATACTTCTGAGATTAAGCTTACTGAGAAACAGGATGATGATACTGAAGACGACAAGAAGAAAGTCAATGGGTCGATGAAAATCCCGCGAGTATGGCTGTCTTTGTCTGATTGCTGGGAGAAAATGAAGGTCTCTATCTTTGAGTTTATGATTGATACAAGTGGAAAGAAAGAGGCAATCTATACTGTGTACAGCTATATCGCTATTGGGATTATCCTGAGCCTTAACTGTTTCTGGAAAGTATGGCGTGAAGCTAGTAATTCGGATGAAAAACCATCTGGGTTTAAAGCTTTCTTTATTACCATCGTTTGCATGGTTGGCAAAAAACTCTATGACTCTCTGAAGACCACCAAGTAGGTCGGAGAATTGCTGAGTTTCTTCTATCAAGTGGTAAAAACAGCTGCTGTGGAAATTGACAAGGAAAATAAATTGAAGAATGAAAGTAACCAGAGGTATGGATATGGATTGATAGTTGCAGAACTTATTTTGGTTTTAGGAAACGGGATAAGACAGTCATACAATGATACCCGTGCATTGTCTATTTTACAGTGCTAAAAATGATGAAGCTCAAGACAAGATACCTGAGAGTGAAACTGAGAAGTCTGATGTCACCCAGGACTGAATACAACACAACATGTTATCAAGTGGTAAGTATGATTGGCCATACCATATTTGGTTGCTTTGATGACACTTTTGAACGAAAACGAAATATTGAGGGACTTGGATGGGCACATTGGAACCTCAAGGACTAAACTCATAATTTTCAGGGACCAAACAGGCTATTTTGCCCTTTATTTGTCTAATACAGTTTTATATTTTACAGGCTTGCATTGAGGATTCGATTAGTAGACTGATATATGGCTCAAATTTCGATGACCTAACGTAGCATCTTGTCAAGAGGTAAGTATGATTGGCCATACCGTGTATTTGGTTGCTCTTATGACACTTTTGAACGAAAACGAAACATTGAGGGACTTGGATGGGTATATTGGAACCTCAAGGACTAAACTCATAATTTTTAGGGACCAAACATGCTATTTTGCCCTTTGTTTGTCTAATACTGTTTTTCGTATTTGTCTAATACAGTTTTATGTTTTACAGGTTTGTATTGAGCACTCGATTAGTAGATCGACAAATGGCTCAAGACTCGATAGACCTAACGTCCCTGATATCAGACACTGACCATGATACTGACAACTCTAACCATCCCACGAATCCACATTCATTGTTCGCCTATTGTTGACACTTGTCACTTGAGAGGTGAATTGGTTTAATACGACAAATTTTTTTTGAACTGAATCAACAGGGGGGGGGAGTCCCCACCTGAATTAAATTTAAAAAGATAACTGTACAACAAACGACAACAGAAGAAAGTAGGAGAGAAGCAACAGACTAGGAAGGTAACAGATTAAGAACACAATTACAACAGTGTAAGAGGGGATGAGAGAATGGAGGTCCAAAGCGGCAGGACGGACTTCTGCGAAGGATTGAACCGGTGAGCCCATAGTTTTGCATCTTGTAGGCATGAATTTATCAGCCGACTGATGGAAGGTGGAAGGTTCTGAAAGACGACTTCATTGCGATGGTTCCAAAGCCGCCAGCAACATAGGAGAAAAAAGGTAGAACTCAGAAATGTCGGTAGGGGCCCTGAGAGTTCCAGGTTGTGGAGATCTGATAGCGAGCTTATCTCAGGGATGATTTGAATCATATTCCAGAAGGCTGCTGCCATGGGGCATCTTAAGAAAATATGATATGTGTCTTCTAGGTTGGCATTGCATAGTTCACATGTAGGAGTAGGGAGGATTGTCTTCTTATGTAGGTTAACTCTGGTTGGCAATCTATTCTTGGACATCAGCCAAGCAAAAAATTTTACTCTTGGGGGGGCTGCACTTCTCCAAATTGCAGACCAAGGCGGCCAGGTTTCAAATGTTGCCATTTCAGACCGGTAGAGCTCCGAGGAGGAGATGAGACCATTCTTTGTCTTGAGATTGCACACTATTTCATCAGGCTCAGTGGAGAGGGTGACATTTTGCAGCAAGTACTGAAGTTGCATCATTTGCTGTTGGGCAGTAGGAGTGATTCTGGGGACAAAGAAGCATCTGAAATCTTCATGAAGGACTGAGCTGAGCAAACAGTTTAGTTTGACAGTGTGGGTATAAAGAGCTTGGAATTTAGCGGATAACTGTCCATCCAGCCAAACATCATGCCAGAAGTTTATATGCCGGCCATCACCTGGTAACATCTTTGTATGTTTGCGTAGAAGAGGCAGTAAGGCGATCAGGGATCGCCAGTGCGGGCCGAGGTCAATTGATCCAAGTGGGTAGTTTTGATGTTCTTTCGAGATCCAGGATGCCCAGGGGGAGGGCTGGGTGAAAAGCCTGTGTAGCATTTTTACGAGGAGGGCGGTGTTTTGTGTCTGCAAGTGCTTTATGCCTAGGCCTCCTTGCTTCTTAGATCGACAGACTTGATCCCAGGCTATGAGGCATTTAGAACCATGGTAGGACTCTTCTCCAGTCCACAGGAAACTTCTTCGACGCCTGTCAATCGCTTCGATTGTGCCTTTTGGAAGGGGGAAAGCAGCCATGGCGTAAGTCGGGAGCGAGTCAAGGACTGAGTTCACCAGGACTGATCTTCCTGCATAGTTTAGAAGAGATGCTTGCCACCATGCAAGATATATATCGGTATCATACATATAAGTGTTCTAACTAGTTTTGACGACATTGAAGCATGTATCCTGCTTCGGTTTTGTGACGGTTCATATACAATTTTTTTAGTACTTTATTTGTGTTCTGCCTTTGCTTATTAAAATCTTTCCATTTCCTCACATCTTTGTGGAAACGTATATAGTGCTGATGTTTAAAGTATAAAGCATGGCATTTGAAAGAGTGACAAAGAATGAACGACATTGATAAAGGGTAAAGACAAACTGAACCTTAATTGAGTCGACAAAACCTGATTTAATAACTTTTCTACCTAAAAACAGCTCCGGGAGAAATACCGTCTTAAATCCATCATTCTCTATCGCTGCCTTCTTTTTTTAAGAGAATATTTTATTGCTTGCCTTATACCTTTTTTTCTGCTTATTGCAAGTTTAACTAACATTAGTAACATCCAGTTTGTACATGCTTACCGAAAATGGAATTTCATTGTATCTAACTTACAGTACAAAAGGCAAGGCGAGGACAGTAGATTGTTTACTAGTACTAGGTACTATCAGATAGATCATAAACATCCTACTATCAAATACCGCAGTCATAGGATGGATCAGCTGCTTGAGTTTTCACGAGCCCGTTTCAAACAAGTACATGTTCCTATGCAAACAGCTACCGGTCCTTAGCGAATAAAAGTTCGTACCTAAACTATTAATCAAGAAAATAGTACTGCAATAGTCTATTACCTGATAGCAATCGCAATTTTCAAATATTTTATATGTACTTATACAGTTTCAAATTTGAAATTTAAATTATTCTGGCCAGTATCAGAATGCCAGCCAGCGGCTCCAGGGCGGCCTGGTATTTTTATCCCTGGTCACGAACTCACGAAATCACGATCATATAATCAAATTGGTCATGCTAAAATGAATTATTGAAGGAACATGTAACGTTATAAAATCCCATTTTCATTAAGTAGATCACATCTGGCAATCCCCATGGTGAATTTGATTTATACATCGAACTTATAATATCCCCCTAATTCTATATCACCAGACAAGGAAAATGTTTCTCATTCTTGTCCCAAAAACATGAACTTAAGTACTTTCATCAGGCCACCGTTGGTTGTTAGTATTGTATAAAACATTGCTTCCAGGTAGCGTGCGGGATGCTTTACACCAATGTATTCGTAGAACACAGCGCAGGAATACACATGGAGTGCAAAGTACCTGTATCAACAGATAATTGTTTTAAACGTATAAACAAATCATGGTACCAAATGTTCCAAAGCAAAAATTAGTATACAACAGAAAGCAAAAATCAAATTTATTCAATTAAGCACGTGCACTACTGATCCTTTTATTGGAACCCTAAAAATGTTCATCTTTGTGCCATTGCTAGTAACAAACGGCGTGTTGAAATTATTTTGCGCAAGATTTGCCACCATATTCAGCTCTTACCCATTTCCTTGTGCTATAGCTGATCCATTGGAACACAGATGCCACAGTAATTTTGGAGAGCATCGAAAACTTTGGCGACATATGTGGTAACCCTGTTTCACTATTGTCATATACTCCCTCCGTCCCATAATATAAGGGATTTTGAGTTTTTGCTTGTAACGTTTAATCACTCGTCTTATTCAAAAAAATTTGAAATTATTATTTATTTTATTTGTGACTTACTTTATTATCTACAGTACTTTAAGCACAACTTTTTATTTTTTATATTTGCAAAAAAAAAATTGAATAAGACGAGCGGCCAAACGGTGCAAACAAAAACTCAAAATCCCTTATATTGTGGGACGGAGGGAGTACTTTGGGTTTGAAGTGTTTGTTAACAACTATGTTAATATCTGGTAAAGGTTCCTTCTTGTATTCAAGTTTTGCCTTCTAGCTGGATACTGTAAGTTGTAGCCAGCTTGGTCCACACAAATGGCTACTTTTGATACAGAGTTCTGTGATTTTATGTTGGTTATGTATTTCCAAGAGTTCCTGTACAGCAAACCTTGAAAACTGTACAAATTTTAAAGAAAATGACTTCCCATCTATTTAATTAGACCATCAATTTTAACAACGCCTTTACATGTTGGTGACCTGGTGGTAATCTCACATGACAAGAGTTAGTTTTAGGCTCAAAAGTTAAAGCAACAAATCAACAATCTAATAGTATAGGGATTTGATTCACAAAATGGGACAGTTTGAGCCTATAGGCTATAGCACGGTATTGCCAAAATAAGATGAGAAGACGTGTGCACACCACACGAGCTATACACAAATATATTAGCAAAGGCTATCGAAGAGAAGAATAAAAGTGTAAAAGAATGTGTGCAAGGGTCTTTTCAGCATAAAAAAATAATAAGAACATTATATTAGACTGAATTAATCATGTTCTGGCTTCCAAAGCTACACAAGTGAAATTCATACATATCATTTCAGATTTTGAAGCTTAACGAAGAGGTCTTCATGCAATTCTGTGAAAACTAGCCACTGAACACTTACATAAGAGGCAGTGGGCAGGCAGACTGCCTTCAATTGTTTTATGCAATCTACTTGCCACATAATGTTTTTACTCATGTTCCAATTTCTAAAGCAATGTGAGTCAATAGAGAGCTATTTTTCTCTCGGACGCGTCATTAGAGAACTATGGACTTCCTAATTCCTATGTTATTTTTCTAAGTAGAAGGGTAAACAGTACTCCCCTAAACTATTTCACTTATTTTCCTTTTGTTTCCTATACAAATGACGTTTCCAGTCAAGATTTTGTAAGATAATAGATGTCAACATAATCTATGCTACAAATATTTTAATGACAATTTACGCCCATTTTTATATCCAAAGGTTTAATGAATCTTAGGTTCTTCCAACCTACACAATTAGGCCTTGTTTGTTTTGGAGGGGATTGAGGGGGAATAATTTCATACCACAATAGGTGTGGAATATATCTCCTCTAATCCCTCCCTGGGGATTAACCGAACATGCCCTAGTGATTTTCAGTGCATACTACCATCCTTTGATGATTTTTTTTCTTTTCTTAGATTAAGGGACGAATCAACATGAGAGTGCTATAAATTGATGCATAACCTAAGGGCTCCGTTGGAACACAGGATTTTGACCAGAATTAGTTCATTTACTGTAAAATCCCTCCCAAAATCCTCAGATCCATATGAGGAATATATATAAAATGACATTAACATTGTTGTTGGAACTTTCAACTACTAAAGCAACTTGACAAATGTGTCAGGTATCTGAGAGCTTCAATCCTAAATAAGAAATATCGTATAAAACTAGATATTTTTAACATATCAAACTAGATAATGAAGTTCCTTCCACAATGCGCAAAAACTATGTAATGGTTTCCACTTACAGAATGCAGATAAATCATGCGTAAAAGGATTTCTGTCGCAAATAATGATAAGGAAAAGTTAACCATGCATGAAACATTGGAAGAACTTACCAGATCAACTGTGTGAAGTAGAAGCAAGAGTCCTATTAGAAGGGGGGAAGGATCATTTAGTAAAATTATTGAAAGAATCCATCAAAAGAGCTCATGCGAAAGAATGGAGCCTAGGCGTACTTCTTTTTCAGCAAAAAAAAAAGTACCTTAATAGGATTGTTAGCCCAGAACAACAAAAGCATAATAACTGCATTTCAAAGAAAACTATGTAAGATGAGTGTGTTCGAATAGCTGTTTGCGATACTAAAACATGTAGCCAGCAAAAAATAAACTCAGTATATGGAAAACTCAAAACAAAGTAGGACAGCACTGAAAGGTTTGCCTTTGCCTCATCAGTTAAAGCTAAACTAGTAAATTCGCTTTGACTAATACAAACGTGCATTGCCATGTACCCATAACCCAATAAACAGATGGATGCTAGTTCATAATTTATGGTCACAGTTAGTATCGCGTTTCAGATTGTTTGGTGCTATGAACACTAATGTGTAGAAACAATTTCGGACTCACCAAACTGTATCCTAGCACAAATGTTGTTTGCTTTCCCATTTCTTTTCAGCTCCGCTGCTAAAACACTCATCCTGTAGCATACATATCCGAGAACAAAATCCACGCAAAGGCCAGGCGCCAGTTTGTGGAACTGACAAATACGAATCACGAGAACTAATAAACCTGCACAGATACATGACATGTTCAGTAACTGCTATATACATGCACAGTAGTTTTTTTTTTCTTTTCTGAGGGACGCAAGATGCATACCTGACGTTATGCCCGCGTGGAAGCAGCGACAGCGGAAGACGTTGCCATTAGTGGCCTTAATTTCCTGAAAGGCAGTCAGGATGGGCCGGAGAGGTTCTTCGACCAGGGCGTTCCATATAGCCTCCAGTTCCTCCTGGCCATGTCCCGTCGGCTCGATTAGATCGTCAGGAGTCAGTGGCGTCGTCCACCACTTGGACTCGGGAGGAGCACAACACAAGCGCAAGCGCAAGCTTCTTCCTTGGCTGCCATTGGGTAAACTGAGGGCGCGCCGCTTTCCTTCCCTGCTCCCGGAGAAGCAGAGGGGGGCGCCATTGGCCCCTCTCCGCATAGTAGTTGTGAAGCTGCGAGTGGCGCCACTCTTGAAGGACTGTGTTGAGGACATGGTTAGATTCCTACGGCTTTCCTTGGACCGGCGTGCCGGCGAACACCCGGCCTTGGGGCGGCTAAGAGGTTATGCGGCGGCGGTGGTTCCGGGATTCTTATGGCGAGAGTGACTGAGCCGGCGGCGGAGGGAGGAGAGGTGGCGCGCCGAATTGGGCTCGACGCGACGGACAAGAGGAAGGGATTCGCGCGGCGGAGAGGGGGATCCAGGCGCGCGGCCGCCTGCCGCGGCGCGGAGTGGGGAGGGCAGAGGGGACGAGGGGAACGAGTTTAATACCAGACTAGCCGTGCCCCCCCCCCCCACGCGTTGCGCGGGCATTAGATATAACCTTTAATCAGAAGAATTAAATAGAACATGAACAGGTGGACATGTTTTACAACAGCGGAGCACGTAACTCATATTGCATATGTTTTACAGTATGTACTAAATTATCCATTAACAAAATAAAATAGAAATCAAGGTTGATGGCTATGATCCTAAAATACACAAGCAGTTCATTTAGTTGATTGGTTTAACTCCTTTAGCTTGGGCTACTATCCAAATGAAAGAGGTGAATGTGGACATAAGGCTTGCTGATGAAAATATCCATTTGCTCAAAATCTTTGGGTGTCTAAGGAGGGTTTCCTTTTGGAAATTGTAGAGGTGATACAACATAAGCACATGATAGACTCATTGTTGGCTAGAGTATCTGCCAATCACAACTATATATCAACATCAGTAAAAGGTGCACAGTTAATTTGAAGCCATCATTGTGGGGGATAATAATATAAATCTGAGAGAATAAAAGATGCACAATGTATTTGAAGTCATCATATTTGAAGGACATCTCAGCAAATTTACATATTAAGATTAATAAGAAAACAACTATGAACACATCACTTCATAGTAGTCTAGAAGAAAATTAAGGTGCATACACTGAGTAAAAATGCTTCCTAAATTGTGAGAACAATTTCAGGACCAAATCAAGCTAAAGGTAACATACAACTCAAGTTGGTTGCGATGTGATCTCTGCAAACAATAAGGAGATAACAACTTCAGACTTTCTGTTGGCCTAGGCTACCTGCAATAGCTAACTTTAAGTTCTTCTCAATTGAACCATTTGGGCAAAACGATTGAATATTTAACAACTCCTATGAGACCTTATATTACTGGCCGTATGGGAAAACTAAAATCAAGTAAAATCAGTGTGCATTTTTTTAGTACCTAACCAATAATGCATATAATACCTGTAGACTATGTCCGTCAAGCATTTCTTCAAGTAATGAGTATATCTACATATGACATACGCAAGCATATATAGTAGGTCAATGTTTGGTTAATTTACCTTGTATTTCGAAGAGGCGGCCAATTTCTAAACCATGATCAAGATCAAACATTTTGCTTGTAAGGTTGTAAAGAAAATGAAAGCTACTAAAATATTTAAATAAAAAGGAGAAGAACACTGGGTATCTTTTTTCTAGTAGTAAATTGAGTTGCTCGTAGAGTCACTGGACTATATATGTACCAAAATATATCTGCAAACATGATTACATGAGGCAAGGGTGTACAATATGCATCTAAGCGTATGGGATGATGGTATAAGAAAAATAGCTTGTAAGCAATACAATACAGCAGCAGACAAGTGAATTTGACAAACTTTGATGGAGATAGGAAACCACTCTTCATCAAGTTTACTTTACAAGCTGTCCGTGCATTTCCTGCGTATGGAACAATAGCCATGTAAATTATCAATTGTAGAGTAAAAGGGAGGCAAAACAAATCCATCGGATAAAAAAATTTAAAATGTAAATAGAAGGAATCATACCTGTATAATGAAAGAGGATCACAATTAATATCACAGAGCATCTGTAATATAGAATTAGTAAGAATAGCTAATCAGGTTGTACTGGTCGAAAAAGAATTAAAACAATAACATGAGCATTTGTAATATAGAAACCTATAAAGGGTGAAGGAGATGTAACAATGTAAAATACCTTTGATAGCTTTGATAATAATAACTGCATGCAACACCCACTAAAAGTACGGTCTAACATTGTTAATGTTTTGATAGGATACTCTGCATAGAGATCAATTATAGAACACATCTCAACAAATATGGATTTAGAATATAACATGTGAATATAAATAACTCTGATGGGGTGACATACATATAGTTCTTATGTAGCTAAAAATAGGGAAGCAACCTAGGTAAGTTGAAAATGTGAGGCGACTGATAGAGAGGATTTTGACATTGAACTCGTAAATCCCTTCCCTAAGAAATGTGCCATCACTTACCATATACCTTTTGCTTGTCTGATGCACCCTGCAGCCATTTTTATGATCATATATAGACATAAAAGGCTAATGAATTATCTTCAGTCACTTATTGATTGTACTCTGAGATACCGGCCGATCAATGTAGTAAACATTTACCCAATCAAGTTAATTAACATGAAAAGCAATGCAGAATGGGTATCTACATCCAAGTGGTGTATGCGTATTTGCAGGAAAAGGTAGTAATTAGCAAATAGACATACTCACATACATATGTGATCCTTTCGTTTGTGCTTCCAAGCAGGCCTGCACATCAAAAAAAAAGTTCTGAATCAACGGAATATGGCCTTCTAACAGTGAAATTTCAGAAGCATAATGCAGGTAAGGCATTTGTAACCTCATATGTTCAGACCTGATTGACCATGCACCACAGAAAAATCAAGTAGAGGTTTCCACCAGTTATGTAAGGTTGATAAGAAGAGAGCATGAGATGTAGGACTGTAAAGAGAACTGAGAAATCAATTTGAGGAGTCATATCAGCAGGAGGAGATTTGGCTGCTGCCACCCATGTGGAGTTTCACCTGTTGGTTACCGCGTGCTTGTAGGCGCTCGATGCGGCACAGATCTTGCAGAACCAAGCTCGCGTGGGATGGAGAAGGAGACGAAATGACGGCGACAGTGGACATCGAACTCGCAAGAAGGTGGCGGCAGCTGCCGCTGGCTCGCTGGGAAGACAGCGACGGTAACCACTGGCTCCACACGACGTCAGCGACGGCTGGTTCAGCGAGCTTGAGAGGAAGGCAGCGGCTCCGGCTTCTCAAGCTCGAGGGGAAGGCGGCGGCTGACCACAGGCTCCATGAGACCATGAGCAGGCGGCGGAGGATTTTTGGGAGGGGAAAACGGCGAGTAGCCAAGGTGGCGGCGGCTCGTGGGAAGATGAGAGGGATTAGGGTGCCAGAGTAGCAACGGGGGAGGTGATGGGGGAACGAATGGCTCTGATAGGATGAGAGCACCGAATCGGACGACGCACATGCAGCCAGCTACTGTTACCCTGTAGCAGGGCAAAGCTGCGCTGTGGTTGATCGAGAGCTTGGTTACAAAAACTAAGGATTTAATATGATTAGATTACAATTACAACAGATTAGAGCTCTATCTGATACCGGCCCATTTAAAACAAGCAAGGGTGCATGGGCCCTCATGAATACGGTCCAAAATTTGTGTCCAACTAACCATATCTCCAGTGTAACCTATTCACTGCCGAGTTAGATAGACGCGTTTATTTAGTTTAATTAAGGCAAATTATGGATATTTTGAAATTCAATCCCGATCAATTCAGTCAGAAAATCGTACTATTTGAGTGGCTTGGGTAGTCTATGGCGGTGCAGCCCACTAAACGAGTCCGAGTCGGACTGGCCCGTTCAACCGATATAAGCGGACGGCCCATCTGGCCATCTCTTGTGAGATCAATCGCCGATCCGCCACTCTCCCAAGTCCCAACCACGACGATGGCGGCGGTGCAGCTCCTTCCCCTTCCTCCCGCCGCCCCTCCTCAGCCGCGCCGCGGCAAACCTGGTTGCTGGAACACGCCGCCAGCGCCGCCGAAGGTTTGCCACTACTGGAAGTCCGGCAGGTGCAGCCGGAACCCCTGCCGATTCCTCCACACCGACGCGCCTGATCCGGCGCCGCCGATCGCCGCCGTCAACACGCGCAGCAACACGTGGGTCAACCCGTCCTGCGTCGCCGCGAATTCGGATGGCAAGGGTAGGGCTCCTCCGGTTCAGCCGGCGAAGCGGCAGGTTGAGGCGCCGCCGGAAACGCCTGCCAAGCGCCGATGCGGCGGCGGCGCGTGGTGCGTCGGCGACGGCTTCTGCGGCGTCGCGCGGCTCAAGGGTCACGCCAAGGCGGTCACCGGCTTCGCGCTGCCGGAAGGGTCGGACAAGCTGTTCTCCGGCAGCCTGGACAGCACGGTGCGCGCCTGGGACTGCAGCACCGGGCAGTGCGTCCGCGTCGAGGAGATGCAAGAAGGGGAGGTGCACAAGCTGATCGCCATGGGCCCGTGGGTCCTCGCCGGCGTGCGCGGCGCCGTCAAGGCGATCCACACGGGGACCGGCAAGGAGCTCCGGCTGCGAGGGCCCGCGTCGCAGATCACCGCCATGCTAGCCGAGGACGAGGACCACCTCTTCGCCGGCGCGGAGGACGGTGCCGTGTTCATGTGGAGGATGAACCAAGAACAGCAATCGTTCGACGAGGTCGCCGCGCTCACCGGCCACTACAAGGCCGTCGTGTCGCTCGCGCAGGGCAAGGGCGCGCTCTACTCCGGCTCAACAGACGGCAGCATCAGGGTCTGGGACCTCGACACCCACCGCTGCATCTACAGCTTCGCCGGCCACTCGTCGACGGTCACCGCATTGCTCTGCTGGGAGCGGTTCTTGCTCTCCTCGTCCGACGATGGCACCGTGAAGGTCTGGCAGTGGAAGCCTGATCACGACGACCTCGACCTCGAGGTGCACTACACCCACAAGGAAGACGAACGGGTCGTTTCCATGGACGGAACGTACGACGCCGACGAGAAGCCCGTGCTGCTTGTCTCCCGCGGCGATGGCGTTGTCCGTGTCTACGATCTCCCGTCGCTGAAGAAGAGAGGGGATATTATCTGCGACGACGAGGTCAGGACGATATCCGTCAGGTCGCGCGGCGTCGTCTTCACCGGAGATGCGTCCGGCGAGGTCAGAGTGGTGAAGTGGACATCACTGAGTGATGCAGCAGAGTCTTATTTAGCTATGGCCTGAATTAGTTTTGATTTAAGAGAACCATCAGCCAATTTTTGCTTTGTGGTCTTGTGATTCAGTACTCCGATGTATGTAGTGTACACAACGTTGTAAACAGTGGAACCGCTACGCGGCTTGTGAATACTACTCCCTCCGTTTTGTAACGGTGTGAGGCTCAAGGTTAAATCTGAATGAATTTTTAGTTCAGATCTGCCTGTTTGTAATTATTAATGTTTTGATTTAAGAGAACCATCAGGGAGTTTTGCTCCTTGTTTCTAATCCAATGCATGGATAATAATATAACAGTGCAAGACAGGAATTGCTCGTTGGTTTGTGAATATTGATAAAGATGCGAAGCTTGTGAATACTGATAGAGATGAGCAACAATGATCTTACTATGACGAAGTGCCATATCGGTTTCCATTAACCGAAAATAGTTTTGCTAAGATACTGCATAAGTACGATGTTTTAAAATTAAAAGAGTAAAATTGCAGTTGGGGCCATATATTTTTACCCTTGTTATAGCTTGGATCATGTCTTAGCCAAGATTTTCACTTTGGACCACTTAAAATTACTATTTGTTTTACTCAACACCACCCCCTCATCCTCTCCAAGTCCGATAGGCCATCAGAGACACGACGACGCCATTGCTCTCCCTCTTTCTGTCTCTGTTATCTCCCGCCATGTCCCTTCCAAGCATTTCCATCAGTTGTGCGGCCCGGGCCACGAGTGGTTGAGATCACAAGAGGAGGCGGTTACCATGGGAACCTGATCTAGAAGGGAGCAAGCACAGGGCGGTGGTGGTCGTCCTCAACTCCGGTGGGCGACAGAACATGGCTACACTGAAACATTCGAAACTGACACAGACTTATAACTACGACTATCTGAATCATCAATTTTTGTTGCCTCCATCCATAACGTAAGCATCAAACTTGTTGCTTTCTGAATCGATTTTGCCTAGCCATGCGAATCGGCTATACAGTTGCCACGGACCTCTCAATGCAAGGCACTAGGAGTCTAGGACCCATTGGCTCTAATCCCCTTGCGCTCAGTGCTTACCTCATTCTCCTCCCTGGGTGAAATAGCCATGGTAGCAACTCAAGCATTACCCCACTACCCCTTGGTCCAAACTACTATGTTTTGGCAAGGTTAGATGGTGCTAAGTAAAAAGTTTGATAGGCCCATAGTACATTGTGCAACTAGGGTAATAAAATGGGGTCCAATGTGAAATTTAGTTAAAAAACAAGTAATTTTTTATGCAGTGATAGTGAACCAAATATGTTGTTAAATATCACCGGGTTGATGCAGAATTGGAGTGACACAGTTAAATAGATAAGTGGAGTGAAATAGAAACCTATTAGAAAGTAAAGAAACAAGATAGAACCATTGTGTTGCGGTGTTTCCCGGATCGATTTACCTTGCAGAAACAATGTGACTTGTGATTGTTTCAATCACGTAGGGGATCACAAGTTGCACTAGATGCATTGGTTAACGTTTGTCGTGGCAATCGACTAACAACTTTTGCTGTGCAACTGACTGATATATATTTTTTGGTTTCACCTTATTAGTTCCCACTTCCTCCGTTCACAATGTAAATCATTCTAACATTTTTCATATTCATATTGATGTTAATGAATCTAGATAGATATATATGTCTAGATTTATTAACATCAATATGAATGTGGGAAATGATAGAATGACTTACATTGTGAAACGGAGGGAGTACCAAGTACCAACATATGGATGATGTTTTCAGAATCGTATACTGTAATTATCATGTGGTAGTTAGTACCTACTACTGAGTTTAGAACAAAAGAAATGCATGTGGCTGCTCATCTTACGCTTTGTTACCGTCAATTCATCCATTTGGGACCACTGAAAAATTACACAAGCAAGATGCGAGCGGCACACTGGTTTCAGGTTCAGTTACATCATCACACAAACATAGCTATTGTCCAGTTGCTCATGGCGAGATGCCGAGATAGTCCACAACAAACAAACTAACAGATTCTTCAGGCATATGCCACCGGCCGCTTGCTTTGCTAATCTTTCTAGTTTTTACCTGCGCTGAAACCTGTTGCTTTGTCAATACAGTTTTACTTTTTAACTGAAACTCTTCAAGTTTCTGAAAGCCTTGATGAGACAAATCAGGCGTGGCCCTTTACTTCCTCTTGCCGTTTGCTGTACTCCGAGAGAGCGTTGAAACGCCGGCCTCATGGGCATACTCCCTCCGTCCCATAAGAAACCAATATAATATTAGATGTGAGGATTATAAATCTGGATATATCTTTATTTAAATTTATTATAATAAAATATATCATATTCAGTAATAGATTTATTTTTTACGAGATGAAGGAAGTACGTGTTGCTGCTGCCTGCAAATCTGCCACGCGTGCGGGGGCTGGACCATGAACTGCTTCGAGGCCGTGGACCATATGGCGATTGGGCGGCCGACGCGAAGAAAAGAAGAGAAGAGAAGTTTGCCTGCCACTGGCCGGCGGCGGCTCGAACCTTCTTCCGTCTCCCACCCGTGAGGCCGTGACGTTGACCGGCGATCGCGCCTACACACCAACCAACCGGGGGCCAACTGAAAATACGCGTATCGTATTGGTCGCTTTGGTTTGGTGTAGACGTTATACTCCACGTGATGCGCCCTGTATTTGCACTTTCGCCCTCAATTAATTTCCAATATACTGAGCCTTTCGCCCTTGCTGCGCGCCTGCGCATGCATCAAGTCAAGCACGTATTTGTAATAAACAGGAAATGGAAAGGACTGGAATGTTAGTCCATGTTTTTGCGAAAAAGCCCATAGAAAGCGATTATTTACTTATGACCGACGAATTCACACTTCCCATCCCCGGGAAAAGGCCAAGCAAACGCACACGCGGAACTGAAAAGCGCCGGGCCCGCATGTCAGTGGGATATACTCCTACCTACGAGAACATTACTGCCAGGTGGGTCCCATGTGCCTGCCCCGCTGACCACGTGCTGACGTGCCGCCGTTTGGCAGTAGCCTTTCCGTCGGGCTCCAATTTTTTATTTTCAGTTTTTTCTCTATCGAGATATCGACTTTTATTTTTTATTATTTAATTTTTGTTCTGTATTTATCATTTATTATTATTATTCTCTCTACGATCTCGTCCTCTTCTCTTCCCCTTCCGTTGGGTTTGATTCTTGGCAATTTGGCATTAATATTTCATCCACAACACAAGGCGAAGCCTACGAATTCCAATTCCCACTTGCTCCGGTCTCGTGCGTGCATGGAACTCTCCGGCGAGACCGCCTCGCCGGCGCCGGAGCCGGAGCCGCCGGGGCAGCCGGAGGTGTCGCCGCGGGGGGCGGGGATGTTTGAGGATGCAGTGGAGGGGTCGTCGACTGCCACGGAGTCGCCGGTGGCAGTGGCGCGGCCAGACGGCGAGGCCACCACCGAGTCCTCTTCGCCATCAGCGTCGAGGACGCTGGCCGGCGACGAGCCGGCGGCCGCGGGCGCAGGGGAAGTGGAGGCCTACGGCGGGGATGAGTCGCCGTCGGTTTCTGAACCGCGAGAGGAGTCGGGAAGTGTGGATACGGGAAGCGCCGCGTCGCCGTCGGTTTTGCGATCGGAGCAGCGTGCGAGGGGGGCGGAGGAGCAGGAGAATTCCATGGCCGCGCAGTTGGGGGAAGGATCGCCAGCGAGGGAGGAGACGAAGTCGAGGATCTCTTCGGCGCCGTCGTCGCCGGTTCTATCGGGCACGTCGACCTCGTCGTCGTCGCCGCTGTCACAGATCAAGCATCAGGCGCGGCACGTGCGCACCGGCAGCTTCCAGCGTTTCCGGCAGCAGATGCAGCGGGCGTGGAAATGGGGGCCAATTGGAAGTGGAGGCGGCGGCGAGAGGAGCCCCAGGGAGCAGCTGCTGCGTACGACAGTGAACTTTGAAGCTATGGCGCATCAGAAGCGGCAGTGGTATCAAATCCAATCCAAGTCACGGGTATAAAACTCTCCTGTTTCACTCAATCCTGCTTATGATATTCTTGCATTTTATTTGCAACTTTTGCTTAGGAGTGACTGAAAACCTATTTGAATTGATAACTGAGAACAAAAGTGCTAAATCAATCAAATAGCTTTAGTCTTCGAGGTCAAGTAGAAATGGGCAGGTCCACGCAATCAGATAGTAGAAAACAGCAGCAGACAATGAGCTCTAATGCTTCCACCTATCTTACTATGTGTTGTATGCATTTCAACAACGGAATCATTGCTCAACAGCTATATTGTTAAAGAAAACGATCAAATTGCTAATACCGCAATGGTGCAATATGAATTTTCATACTTGTAGCGAAGTAGTTGATGCATTCTGATGTTCTCATGAATCATAACCCGGTGAACCTGGTATTATTTGAGAGTGTGATCCCCAGAGCAAATTCACACACCATAGTACCTCTAATATTTTGATCTACAAGTATCAAACATGTCTCAAGTACAAAAGTACTTCCCTTAGAACCACAGAGATCTGCCTTTTGTATTGCAGTGCGCTAGTGCCCATGTTAGTTTCTGTTGCATTATTTTGGTTTGTATTCAATGTGAACTTCCCCTTGTTACTACGCTGGTTATTTACTCTTCTTTTTTCTGCAGGACAATAAGCAGTATAAGGAACCAACAACACTCTTTGAACATTTTTTCGTAGTCGGACTTCATTCTTATGCAAATGTTGGAGTCATTGAGGATGCATTTGCAAAGAAGAAAGCTTGGGAATCTAATGTAGAACACTCGGAGATTGTAGATCTTAGAAAAATTCAATATCATGGACCTATACCAACCATGGAACCACAGGTGTGCTTCTTTGAAAAAAAAAACATGGAATTCTTCTGCTTGTGCACATAACTCTAGTTTCATGAACTCTGAAAACGTCTATCTTGTTTATATGGCACATCCCAAGATTCTATCCTGATTTAGACTGTTGGACTTGGTCTCTAGACCTAAAAGATGATCAAAGAGCAATTTACTTGCAGATTCTTTTCAAGTATCCACCTGGAAAGAAAGCGGAAATTAGGGAAATTGATTTGCCGTCATTCTGTTTTCCCGAGGGTGTAAAGGTCAGCTAACTTAGTTTTTTTTTTCTCGCTGAATTTGTACTGTACATATTGGATTTATAATGAATTGCCCTTTGGTTTTCTTAGTTGAGTAGAACTGTCTCTAATGTGACAGAAATTTTACTTCTGGCATATGTTGTTTTCTAAGTAATTCAAATTTGAGTGAAGATATCTATCATTCATCTGGGTGTTTGAACATGGAGTCATGATTCATCTCTTCTATATTTTTGGATTTTTGTCCATCGGTTGATTTTTTTTCCTGAAACATATCAATTGGTTTTGATATCTTGTGTCTGCAAAAATTATTTAGTAGTACTATGGTTGCATGTTGATTATCTAGCTTTGTTTCATTAAAAGGAGGTCTGAGAGGAAGATTCAGTTAAGGGTAAAATGAATTTTGTTTGTTGTACTTCTTTGCCGGAACCTGAGGAATGCATAATGATACTTGTTAGTGTTAGTGGTACACACTTCTTTTTGGCATAATAATGCTGTTCTATTTTCTAACAATTGTGATAAGCAAATGATTATCTGAAATTGTTTACTTGCTGATACTTTTTATAGTCCTAGGACTTGATTCTTTTCATTTGACTCGGACTAAAAAAATTAGTTAAATTGTTTCGATAATTTTCTGTGGAGTATTGGAATACTAAGTAGTGTTAGGTATTGTTAGTGTTAACCAACAAAAAAAATGGTCTTTTCATTTTTCCTTCTATTCTTATTGGGATATGTATTTTCTGCTGTAAATATATATATTGATTTTTTAATTTCAAATTTCCAGGCCCGCTTAATAGAGAGGACTCCATCAATGAGTGATCTGAATGAAGTGGTATTTGGGCAGGTGAGACTAGTTGTAGCAGGATATGGGAAATCTCCTGGTATTTGCAGTCGACTGTTTTGCTAGTCTGTAGAAAGATATAGTAAATGGTTGTTCAAAATTCGTTTTAAAATTCAGTCTAAATTTTGGTGGTCAATGGATAATCAGGGGGCAGTTGTCATGTCTCCACTATAAATATGAATACTCTTGTGGAGATTGCATTACTATCTAACTTGACTCTAATGTGCTTTCTTTCAAAGTACTATCTAACTATAACAAATTTTATACAGGAACATCTGTGTCGAGATGACCTGTCTTTTATTTTCTCCATGAAGGTTAGTTTGTTTATTCTTTTCTAATATTCCTGGATGTTAGCATTCAGATAATCATCTATTTACCCTTCTTATTGTTGATTGTTGTTCACGACACCAGGTATCAGATAATGCACCACTATATGGTGTTTGTCTGCATGTCCAGGAAATAGTTCAGAGAGCACCGGGTATACTAGGCATGGTTTCACCACTAAACCCTACTTCCTACAAGCCAAGTCGTTTCTTGGTTTCTGCACCACGATGTTACTGTTTACTCACAAAAGTGCCCTTTTTTGAGCTGCATTATGAGATGCTAAACAGGTTGGCTATCTTTACTAAGTTTCAAGATTGCTTTGATTTATCTGGCCTAAGAACAATGTTATGTATAAAATGGCTAGTCTGTGCTCCCTCAATTCTCTGCTAACCAATAGTGTATGGTGTTGTTTGTATGAACAGCATAATTGCTCAGGAGAGGCTTGACAGGATAACACAGTTTGCTAGTGAAATTGCTCTGGCAGAACCAATCCCCCGCTCTATGAAAGAGCAAAGTCAAGTAAATGGGGAGGATTTTGAATCCGCAAATGAGCTTTCTTACAATGATTGGACAGAATATGCTGTACCTGTCAACAGTATATCAGGTCTCATCTCTTCATCAGGACTTCCATCAGAGGGAGAGATTCCTTCATATTTGTTCAGGAGTTGGGAGCCTAATTCTCCTGAAAGTATGTCGGCTAGTGAGACTTCAGATTCTAGTTACATAAGAGAACTCGAGAAGGAAGGCAGGCATAGTTTCCAACAATATGAGGATTGTATATCAGAGAACTTGGGATCCCGTTGTGATAGCTTTGGAAGAACAAGTTATACTTATGAGAATGGACATACTTCCCCAGATCTTCTCTCCACACATTCGCCTATCTCCAGAAGAATCATGCGTGCACAGAGCATGGAGTCTTTACACAGGTAACCCTGATAATTAGAAGAAAAAACATAGATTCTGCAGTTGTCGAGTGCAAATTATGGTCATCACTCACCAGATCTGCTGGATGTCTGAAATCATGTGGTCTTTCCTGTAAAACTACTATATTATGTCTAGTTTTTTCATGCTATTTACCTTACTCATTAATTATGCCGTGGTTTCTGACAGTTCTGTGAAAGGTGTTGGGTCAGATGAAGAAGAAGAACTAAATATGAAGCAAGAAATAGTTGTTGATGATGAAAAAGTTATGGGATGGGCTAAGGTTTGTCTGACACGTTCAAGCTTGACAAAAGGCATCTGTTGGCCCTTGTTCTAATAATAGACTTCTTTTTTTAAAAAAAAAAATAAAATAGGTACACAACAATGAACCTCTGCAGATTGTTTGTGGCTACCATGCTCTTGCTCTGCCACCTCGTGGAGGTGAACTTGTTTTCCACCCCCTTGAACATCTGCAACCTGTTAAATACTCCCGGCCTGGATTGTCTTTATTGGGGTTAGGAGACACAATTTCAGACAATGGTTTGACTTCAGTAGAAAAAACTGAGGTGAATGTGTGGTCTTTAGAGATTTGTTTTGAAGCACAATGCCCCCAGCTTCCCTAACCATGAAATTTTATTATTAGGTCAATGCCCGTTTGGCGGCTGCAGAAGAAGCTATCGCATTATCGATATGGACTACAGCTACAATTTGTCGTGCTTTGTCTCTCGAAAGTGTATGTTGTACTTTCTGCTCTAAGTTTTTACCTATGTGGCTCCATTTTTTTGTGCTGTATTCCCCCATTTTTAAACTAGCCATCTTGTAACAGGGTAAGCTTGTAGTAGTAAGTATAATAATGAAGTTGTATCTCTGTTATTTTTTCCCCTTTTCTGCTGCCTTCATTAACCTGCGAGTGGTTGGGTGGGAAAATACACTAAATAGGCCTTATCAAGCTTTCCGCTAGGCTTCATAGATCTCCTTGGCTACAAAGAGATCCCAGAAAAAAAGAAGGTGCTCCCCTAAGCATTTCTCATAGCTCAAAAGAAGTCGAGCCAATCGTAGACTGGTGAGCGGGGAATGAGAGCTCCATACTGTCTTTCCTCTTGTTTTTAGGTTGTTTGTTTAATTTGAGTAGTACGTATCTTATGTAGATTTTGGTTTGGTGGTGTAGCAAATATAGAGTGTATTTGAGTATATATATATAGAAAGTCTGTCTATCTAGGACGCATAGTTAGATCGTTATTCCAATGCATGGTAATTCCTATGGGCTATTTTTTGCCGGGTCGGCCGAAAGATTCGGTCGACCAATTTCATTAAGAAAGAAAGGTAATGAAACAATACAGATAGCTTACAATGACAGTAAACTGTCGAATTGGATGTTGGCTAGGCCCTCATCCTGTGAGCTGAACGAAAAAAGTTACAGGCCCGGAGGCGAACTCTAATCAGTGATTCTCGTTATTACATGGTTGAATAACCCCCGCTGTCTTCCACACTAGGGTTTCTTCCTTGACATCATCCACAAGCTAACAAGCATTCCTATGGGCTATTATTTTCTTCTTAAAGAAAGGGCGAAGCCTAAGTAGAAATAGCACAATTCACTCTATAAGGGCAAAGCACATTAAATTACATCGGCAAAATAGTCCTCCGTTGCTATTATTAAACTCAATATAGCAGTCTGTTTGTCTGTCCCTACGTAAGCTTCTATGCTCAGTTTGCATAAAAATAACTAATTGTTTTTCACTGCAGGTGCTAGAGTTATTTGCTGCTGCTCTGTTGGAGAAGCAGATTGTGGTAATATGCTCAAATCTGGTATGCTTGTTAGCTTGAGCTTTGTAACTATGTGCCCTGGTTTCCTCTTATGCTTCCTGCTGATTCCAGCACCTCCCTTAAATGCTTAACTGCAGGGTGTACTGTCAGCTATTGTTTTGTCAGTTATGCCGATGATAAGACCATTCCAGTGGCAGAGTTTATTGCTTCCTGTAAGTTCTATCATACTCTTTCCTGTAAGTTTCAGGTTTCTGTTCAATTATGTACTTTTTAATATCATATCGGTAATTTCAGTTTTGTTTGAGTGGCCCCATGGGGGCCTGGGCTTTGATCTGACTGATTCTACCTTTTTTTGGTGGCTCAGTTTTGCTCCTTTTTTTTCTCATGTTTATCATACCTTATCATTATGATGTAATCATGCAGGATCCGTCTTCTTTGTAACTGAATAACTTTCTATAAATTAGTGAAAATATCATATTGCCTTTGATGCTAAAATATACGTGGCTATTGTCCTTCTGTTTTAGATTTCAACTTTTGATTTTGGAGAATATGAATTGGTAGTTGAAGTAGACAACTAGTATCAAGAGGGTATGGCCTTTGTAGAGTTTGTGTTTTAATAAAACTTGGGCTTTTCAAACCCAGTTTAAATGCACTCGCATGGACTCATTGTGCTCCTAAATGCTGTGTGCAACTTAGTAATAACTAAATAAATTGTGAAAGATGCAACTTTTAATGTAGTGTATAAATAGTCTGTACATAAGAGCGGTATTTTAACTGTTGGACTGTCTTTTCTCTATTTGCATTTGTCATCCGACCGTAGGCATTTGCTTTCTCTGAAACAGATGTATTGATGTCTAGATTCTATACATGCTTTGAACATTGGACTAATACCCTAAAAGAGTGATAGATTTGTAGCTCATTCATATATCTCATGTTCCTATTCTGCTCTGAAGTCAAACAACTGCTTTTCAGGTTCTACCAAGAAAATTGGTGGATTTTCTTGATGCTCCCGTCCCTTTCATTGTAAGTTCTGAATGTTCTTTTAAGCACACTTATTGGTCATGCTCTTTCAAGGAGTCATCACTGACCGCAATTGCCAATTTGTGCATGTTACCGATCTTCACCATGTTCTGATTGTTTGTGCATATTAGCTGATGGACGTGTTCTCTCCTACAGGCTGGTGTCCAACATAAACCCCCTGATATTAAGATGAAAGCATCAAGTATTGTCAGAATCAATGTAGATAAAGATCAGGTAAGTGCATCATATTTTTCCTGTAATTTAAAATATCTTGGGAATAAATGCTTTTTTTTTGTCAAAAGTGAATAATTTATTCTTGCTCTATGCCTAGCTAACATGTCAGCATGTCAGTTGGAGTAATTTAAGTGAACAATATCAATAGGAGTAAGTTGGAATTGATTTTACCCATTGGTGTCTTGGTGACATTTCACTACACCCAATCAGGAATCACAAGTTCCATATGCATGCTCTGCCAAACGGGAATTGCTAGTTCCGTATACATTCTGATTTTCAAAGAACAAAAATGTTTTGTGCGAGTCTATGAGACCAGGGCTTCAAGGTTTATACTTCCAGGGTACATAGTACGTCTACTGTTGCATGATGGAACTCCTGGGCTGATCATGTTGATTTTGTGATATTTTACTGGTGCAAGCAAAGCATACGTGCTGCTGTTATGACTTTTTGCAGGAAAAGATTCATAGCCACTAACTGTTAGCAACTATACTGAAAATGCGCAGGTGAAGGCATGCTCATTACCTCAACTTCCACGATTCAAAGAACTTGTTTCTGATCTCAGTCCAATTCATGCTAGACTTTCATGTGAGAATGCCCTGGCTAAGAGACATCCAATTTACAAATGCAATGAAGTTCAGGTAGTAATATTATTTATAAAATTTGGAATAGGGATCAATCCTGTTTGGTGCCTGTTCCCTTGGATTTTTCCCTTTGCAGATCTTGATCATGTAAAACTTGTTGATCCTTCATGTTAGATTTTATTGAAGGATAAAGATGGCTCGAAATATTTCCCATGTATTACAACTAGTTTGGATTTCATTACAGGCTGAGGCAGCTTGGCAGTTCTTGAACGTCATGAGATCCTATCTGGAGTCGCTTTGTTCTGACCTGCCATCTCATACCATCACCAATGTACAGTCAAATAATGACAGGGTTAGCAATATGAACACTGGTTTGCACTTTAATTATTGAAAACAGCATAAATCCAGTCAATGATATTTCTTCTATCTTATCAGGTTTCGTTGCTTCTAAAAGACAGTTTTATCGATTCATTCCCCTCAAAGGACCGACCATTTGTAAAGGTATTTGTAGTTGAGTTACGTTTTTACGAAATTAATAGAAATTTATAAGTTGTTCATGAACCCTTGGATGGCAAACCTGTAGTATACTTCTAGAGGCATGCCAGTCTTTCTCCACATCGTAGGTCCTGTTGATGAGATAGAGCTTTCAAAAGATGTTAATATTGTCTGCACTTTTAACTCTTTTCTGTTCCTTGTCCTAGATCACTGCTAAAAGAAAACCTAGGTCACTGACCTTTTTTAAAAAAAATAAAAGAAACCAGAAGGGTGGAGGGACATAACAAGAGTATTAGTATATGAACAGGTCTCAGTATAGAAATTTCTCAATGAAACGAATTTTGTAAGGATGCCAGAGCTGTATTGTCTGTGTTTTTCATCTAATCATCTTCCCTTCTTTTCTGTTATTCATGCAAATTCTCGACTCTAATGAAACGAAACTTGTGTTTGCAGCTTTTTGTGGAGACGCAGATGTTCTCTGTTCTATCAGATTCTCGACTTTCCACATTTGAGAATGAACTAACATAAAACGGTTTGCTCTAGTCAGAGATCAAAGTAATCAACTTCCCCGGTTTGTGGCGAAAATTTCCCTGTCATTAGAACGATCGGGCAATGGGAAGAAAAGGCAGTCCGGACCGAGAATTGAGGGTTAGACTGCGCAAGCCCCAGAAGTTTCCGTTCAATGCTGGAGCTTAAAAGACGGATGAATCGGATAGTCTGGACATGAAAAATGTGTGATGCAACCCAGTCTTTTAAATGGGATGCACCTGTCCTTTGGGTTTGGGAAGGTATACATGGGATGGAAAAGAAATGTTTCAATGCTGCATTACAGTTATATATATTTTTGGTTCCTAGTATTCTCTTCGTTATACAAATCAGCGTATATAGTGAAAAGAATCCTGTAAATAAGATAGCTTATTCATTGCAGTGCGCATATACCCGGAGTTCGGGTTAGGTCCCTAGTTCGGGACTTCGGGTGCACAAGAACGTCATCACAGTTATTAGTTGATTATAATGTATTCATCTTTCGTAGCTTTTTCGAAGGGTATTTGTAAATATTTCAAACCATGAACCATCATAAGTTATTACTCCCTCCATTTCATAATGTAAGATTCGGAATCTTACATTGTGAAACAATGTAAAACGGAGGAAACGGAAGAAGTAATAACCTTGACTGAATGACAAGGCAAGGACGCATGGTGAATAACATCGTCTCAATTTGCAAAGCAGTATAACTTATAAGGCTATGCAACAGACATTAACCAACCACACCTCACAACACAAGCACGCAACAGAGGCGTGATCACGTGACAAAATTGCACCTCGTTGGAGCAGAGATCAGCAAGCTTGGTGATCACCAAGGATGAGTACTCTTATCTGATCACAACCGCGGCGTGACTCGAGTATGAAGTTTATGAGCTGCAAGATATCACGCATCACCAGAGAGGACAGCCTGGTGATCATTAGACCATGATTGAGCTACATGCTATATTGACGCTAGCTGTTCACGTCCAAACCTCAGGGCGGCAGCTACTCTTCCCCTACATTGCCTAATTTGCCTTGCACAGCAACATCTTCTCCTAACAAGAAAAAAAGAAGACACGCAGACTCCCATCTCTGAAGCCCCAAAAACAGAGTCTTCCATGCACACAAGAAACAAACAAATTCGCAACGTGCGTTTCGTTGCAGATTCCCATTTGCTGGGATTAATATCCAGTAGTGTGCACACACACACACACCCGTACATCGTACAAAATCCGTAGTACTTTGCTTGGCTGCATCTGCATTCCAAGCCTATAAATACCGTGCGCGCGATCGCCAATCCAGAGCACACGCAGCAAGCAAAAGTCAGTGATCAGTGAGTGACCTCTTGCTAAAACGCACACGAATTCGCAGAGATGGATCGCCGCGCTAGCATGTCTAGCCGGAGCGTGCTCGTCCAAATCCCGGACCAGCTGCCGACGCTGTTCGAGCCGCAGAAGGCCATAATGACGCCGAACATCCGCGCGGGCGTCGACGACGACGACGACGGCGACGCGGCGCCGCCGGAGCGGCGTCTCACGGTGCTGGCCCTGCAGCTCGCCGTCCTCGAGAAGGCGGCGAGCAGGCTCGGCACGCTGGGGTTCATCTGGGCGACGGTGGTGCTGCTCGGCGGCTTCGCCATCACGCTCGGGCGCACCGACTTCTGGTGCATCACCGTGCTGCTGGTGGTGGAGGGCGCCCGCATCCTGGGCCGCAGCCACGAGCTGGAGTGGCAGCACGAGGCGACGTGGCGGTCGCCGGTGTCGTCGGCGGCCGGCCTCGTGTTCTACTGGATGCAGCTGCTGTCCGCGTCCGCGTGCGTCGCGCTCTCGCTCGTCCGCCTCGTCCACCAGCGCTACGGCGGCAGCGCCGACGCGCGGACCAACCGGAGCTCGGCGCTCGACATCTTCTACGGCCTCGCGCTCGCCGAGGCGCTGCTGTTCCTCGTCGAGAAGGCGCTGTGGCAGTGGCGGGTGGGGCACCGCCGCCTGATCGAGCGCGTCGCCAAGGAGTGCCACCTCGCCGGCGCGTGCGGCGCGGTGGCCGTCCGCCGCTTCTTCTACGATTCCTACTCCCGCTGCCTCAACGGCAGCATCTTCGACGGCCTGCACATGGACCTCGTGTCCTACGCCGACGACCTGCTCACCGCCGGCTCCTACGACGAGCAGCGGCTCGGCGCCTCCGTCCTCGTCGCGCTCGCCGAGTCCGACCGCTTCGCCGACGCCACGCTGCGCAGGATCGGCACGTCGGCGCCGGTCACCGAGCGGCTCATCGAGATGCTCAGCTGGAAGAACTCGTCGGAGAAGGGCGTCCGCCGGTCGGCCGCGGTGGTCGTCTCCATGCTCACCGAGGGGAAGCTCAATGCTCTCCGCGTCACCGGCATCCCCGGCGCCATCGAGTCCGTCGCGTCGCTGCTCTACGCCGACCTCGACGAGCTCAACCTCCTCGGCCTCTCCATCCTCAACAAGCTGGCGCACGACCACGACATCTGCGACAAGATCGGCAAGACGAAGGGACTCCTCGACAAGATCATCTCCTACTCGAGCATCGCCAGTGCACCTGCGACGGCCGCGCCCACCGACACGAACCTCATGGCGGTGAAGCAGTCGCTCCGCGTGGTGAAGAGGCTGGCTAGCACGACGGGCACCACCGGCAAGCTCCTCCGGAGGGAGCTCTCCGGCATCGTGTTCACGGTGAGCAACGTCAGGGATGTGCTGCAGCAGCGCGACGGGAAGGCCTGGAGCGAGCTGCACCAGCTGGCGATCGAGACCCTGACGAGCCTCACCATGGACGAGGAGGCGAGGGAGATGATCGGCAGGACGGGTGGCGTGGTGAGCGAGCTGGTGGCGATGTTCTTGCCGGCGACGGAGGCGGTCGGAGACCGGCCGGCCGACGCGGTCCGTGTGGAGGCCGGCGAGGCGCTGGCGATGCTGGCCCTCGACAGCCGGAGGAACTGCGGCGCCATCATGACGGCTTGCGGCGGCGGAGTTGAACGGCTCGTCGAGGCGATGAGCGACCCCGTCGTCATCGTCGGCGCCGCGAGGATCCTCCGCAACCTGTGCACCTACGCCGGCGACGAGTGGCGGCTTCCGCTGAGAGGAGTCGCCGCCGGCGCCACCAAGGTGCTGAGGACAATCATGGCCGAGAAGGGCAAGGTGCTCAACATCTTCCTGGGCCTCGCGGCGCAGATGCTCCGGTTCATGGAGCCGGAGGAGCTCCGCGCGAGCCTCGCCGCGGCGAGGGTGACGGACGCGGCGCTGGCGAAGACGATGGTGCAGGTCCTGAGGGAGTACAGCCGGCCGTCCATGGTGGTGCCGCGGATCCGCCGGTACACCATCGAGCTCGCCGTCGCCATGATGCGGTCGGACAAGCGATACGTGGCGCTGTTCGTTGAGCTGGGAATGGAAGACCAGCTGCGGCGCGTCGCGGGCACCACGTCGGAGCTCGAGTGCTTCAACGTCTTCTCCGGCAGCGTCGGCCTCAGCCGCCGCGGGGTCAGCGTCTGCGCGGACGTCGAGGCGGCTCTGGAGTTGATGAGGCAGGCCTGAAGGTCAACTGAAACTACTTAATTATGTGCACGTGCCTGATCTATCCTATATCCCGTGTCTATGTTCGTTGTTAATTTGTGATTCCTTCATTTATCTCCAAAATTTGTGTATGAGTTCATTCTTAGTTGCCTGAAACTAAGTGAATTATAAATAGTGTAAGGTACAAATAATATTACTACCTTGTTGATTATACATGGACTCCTAATCCTAATTTTTTTTAACTGAAAGCCACTAGCTCAGATAGGTAAGAGGTAGTGGAAAACGTGATTATACTTGGGAAATTTGGGCAAAATGGATTATTGTGAATCTGTGCTTGCTATAGGTACCAAGAACAAACTGACAGGACTGCTAAGCCACACAGGATAGACAAAGAAGCACCACAGTACGAGTTAAATATAGATGATCAAATTGGTAGTTTCCAGAGATACAATCATGTTCCATTAATCCCATATACATTGCTGCGAATAGAAGTTACGGTAAGTCAATCTTTGTGCAAGAAGCTTGGCAAGTTTCATAGCTGCAGGCCCAGGTCTAAGAACATCCGGGTTACCTGAAACAGAACATGGACTAGCATCCCCAACACCTATGCACCATCCCCCTGGGGCTGGTTCTTCAGGTTGCCGGTGTAAAATCTCCTCATCAATGTGGTTAAGAACAGGATCGTCCATGGAAAATCTTGTTCCAAATGCTACGCCGCTTTGAGTCATATTCTCTACATCATCCAGGGTCAGTAGAAGGGGCTCTTTTTTCGAAGATGAGTCCCATTTTGAATAGTGTAGGTCATGGTTAACAACAGTCCTGTTAAACTCAGGGGAGTTGCAAAGAACTGTCTGGAAATACTTCCTGTGTGGCAAGGGCATGTTAGTATAGTACATTAGCATGGTTCTTGGTAGATTATCCGTACCGATGATACAGTATTCGATAAATTTCCGAGAAAGGATAACAGATGAAGAACCTGCATTGGAACAATAGGTACAATTAAATACTTCTTCAGTGTCTTCCAATCAATTAAATAGTTAGGTAAAAAAGACATTAACATAAGGTGTAATCAAGATGTATAGTGAATTCAATGCCATTCTATATAAAAATGGATTCATTTCAAAACAATACATATTTTTTCCAGCCTATTTCATGAGCAAGACATTAGAATTCTGCAAAGCTCTTGTTCAGGCAGGGCAGGCAGAGTTAAATGTCATCGGAGTTGTACCGAAAGAAGTGCCTATGTTTTACAAATCATCAGATAACAAATGGGATGCCAAGTATAATGAGCCCAATAAAATGTCAACCAAAGTAAGAGAATTGAATAGTATAAGTACACTATTTATATGGATAGCCATATGTTATCTAATAATTTCAAACCATCTGTCAATAACTAAAAGGGAAACTAGTCCATTAAACCGACATATGATAAAGACGTTTCACAATTTTCCATCAACTGGGTATTGCATCATCATTAGCACTATAAGACAAATTATTCTATGTCCCCTATCATTATATAATGATTTATGGGATGATCTTCTAATAAATACTGAAGCGCATTAACCCCTTACCTGTAAATAGTTTATAAGCATTTGGCAGTTCACGTTTTTGAGTGGCATAAAATATATCAGTCCTGGATGAGAGATATAGACCAGGATCAACAACAATCGGTCTTATCTGTCTTGACCTGAACAAACATACAAAGTCAAGAACTTGAATTCCCAAGTTTGAATTAAAACTAAAGAAATTCAGAATGATCGTATGTCCTTACTCCCTCCAACCGATATAACTGGTATGCTGGATGAAGTTGAGATCCTTTGGTATATATGATAAAACATGTAGTAGATCTGCCAACAATTCAAAGTTAGGTCGGATAAAGAGTGCTGTGCCCCATAGAAGAGCACCTTGTTTCACAAAATGTCCATAGTTTCCAGAGAAATAAAATGGTATAAGCACAACATAGAGGTATTTGTGTCCGTTCTGTTCTACCATTACATAACCAAGCAATTTCTGTAGGGCACAAGTTTATCTAAGTCTCTTTAGGAACAGTGCAGAAAGTGAACTTCGAATTCAATAAGCAAGTACAATGAACATGAAACACACTGAGGAAACTCTAACAGCCTAAACAGGAGGCAAAGATTAGTAAAGTTTTTTTATTATTATTCTCAAGTTCCATAAGAAATAGTTATCCATGCTGTTATAATGCAAAGGATTCACTAATTTAGATCACATCGTCATGATTTTCTGTTGAAGCCAGATTAGATCAGCATGCCAAGCTTGTACTCTTTCGTCCAAAATATTTTTAGAACCAAGGCCATATGGTTTGTATGGCGGGAAAGCAAAAATCAGTAGCAAGTTCAAAGGCTTGTCATGCTGCCAAAATAATACCATTCCATTTCAGACCTCAAAGGAGTTGGCTTCAGTGTAGAAAACCAAGTTCCACATGCTTCTGGCATCAAACAGATGTGGTCACAGTTTGTTTTTTGGATGAATATGTGTGAGAAATATCTACTGATCGATTAATCAAGAATTTATTCCATGGAATGCCACAAAATCAAATATATTACTTTTCCTAATGTGATAACAGGATTTTAATTCCTTCAATGAAACAACTTTTTAACCATTCTAATGCATTGAAGATGGTCTTCAGAGATACTTACTCCGTTTCATATTATAAAACTTTCTAGCATTGCCCACATTCATATATATGTTAATGAATCTAGACATATATGTGTGCCTAGATTCATTAACATCTATATGAATGTGAGCAATGTTAGAAAGTCTTATAACCTGAAACGGAGGGAGTAGTATTTATTGTCTAGTAGTAGTCTGATTGGTCATTCTTTTACCTATCGATTCACAGAAACCTGTCTACAAAAAAATACCCCATTCATTAAACAATAACAATCTATAGTGAAAAGTTAGCAAGATTATCACTTTTATATTTTACCGAAAAGTTTAGATCTAGCTCGAACACCTCAACGACGACAGATACTTATCATATACACAAAGGTAAGGTACCCAAATAGGTGGAGAGAGGAATCACCATCAGGAGTGACGAGCGGGTAGTCACCAGCGTCGAGGTGCACGAACCAGTCCCAGTCCTGGCCTACCCGCAGCAGCAAGGAGGCGCCGTGCAGCGTGGCGGCGAGCGTGGACGCGCCACGTGGGTTGGCGAACCCGGGGTCGCCGACGACGTGGACATTGGCGCGGCCAGGGCCAGCCCGCGCCTGGCGGGCGAGCCGCGCCCGGTCCCCCGCGGACGCGGCGCCGTCGAGGAGGAGGAGGTAGAGGTTGCGGGGGTGGTAGGTGGCGAGGAGCAGCCGGAGGAGGCGGTCGGCGTCGCCCGCCGAGCCGGTGAGGAGGAATGCGAGCGACGGCGGCGCCGGCCCGGCGGAGGACGCGTCGACGGGGAGCGGGACGTGGTGCGGCGGAGACGGTGGCGGCGGCGGCGACGACGACGACGAAGGGGAGGAGAGGAGGTGGAGGAGAAGGAGCAGCAGGAGACAGGAGAGGAGGAGGCAGGGGAGCGGGCGGGTGTCCTTGGGGAAGACGGCGAGCGGCAAGGCGGCGGTCGCGGCCGGCCCGGCGGGCACGGAGGGTTGCATGGGCGATGGATTTCTTCTTTTTTGGCGGTGGTGCAAGCGGCGGGCGGCGGGCGGCGGGCGGAGTGGGAGGAGTGGATCGGGGAGGGAGGGAGGGAGAACCGTGGAAAGAGGAAAGGTTTTTCTTCCGTGTTTGGTGCACCGGGCGTGTCTGATGAGACCGACCGACGGTTTCCTTGGATGGGTCAGGGTCGGTCTGGTCAGGGTGACTTTGAGTTCACTTCATTGGAAAAAGAAAAGTTGAGTTTATTTGTTTTCGTGTAATTCATATTTGTGTTTTTAGTATATTGCGCTTTCTTTGTTTACTAGTTTATTATGGATACTCAATATTTGATGTATTTAGTTAGCAAATTTAAATGGGTATGTCATCATCTTTCGTCTTGGTACTACGGATTGTTCTAAACTTTTTAGCTATGCTTGTGTTGATCATATTGCTTTTTTTATGACTATTACTTTGTTGAGAAAAACTTTTTTCATCAAATTAATTATTTACCTTCAAAGAGAGCTGATTATTGACATGTTCATAAACATTACTTCTTTGATTTTTTGTTAACGAAATAACAAGTATTTTTTTTCATTTTTGTTATATATAGACTTTAGTTTGGTTGTTGGATCAGTTTGCTAATATTAGTTTGTGATTAAGTATTACTCTGGTGTGAATATTGTAAGGATAGTAAACTTAAGAGTTGTGTTTCATTTCTTTGAAAAAATTGAACAACCGATTTGTGCCTTCAATTAAATTCTTACTCATACATTGCATAATCTAAATAGAAGACGATAGATTAACTATTATTGATGTGATGTGCCATTATGAGTAGTGATTTTTTTTTACTATCTCTCATTTCGATTTTGCTATATATTTGTCGACAAAATTTTCCTCAAAAATTTGACAGATGTAATTACAGTACAATTTTAGTGTAATTACACTGTAACTTACATGTAATTACACTGTAACTATAGTGTAACTTGTATGTAATTTTTAAAAATCTCTCTGTAACATGTTATTTCGATAAAATGGTGGTCGTGGGAACAAATTCTTTCACATATGCGTGTGCTATAATTTGTTTTCTTCCTCACCAAAACAAATCTTGTAATAGATCTAACAATTCAAAATTATGTGAAACTTACATATAAGTTACACTGTAGTTACATGCAAGTTACAGTGTAATTACATATAAGTTACAGTGTAATTACACTACAATTATACTATAATTACATCTGTTAAATTTTTAGGAAAAAATTTGTCAATAAATATATATGTAGTCCCCTCTCATTTATATTACCGCGCATATGGTTTTGCTGCCTAGTACTTCAAATTTTGATTTGTTCATCTCCTGTGATTAGTTAGTGAGTTTTTAATGTGTTTAACCCTAGCTCTTGCATCTTCAATTTCTGGCGCCAATGCATCACACGCGTGTGTGCGAAGATGACAGCAAATAGGTTGGCACCACTAAGTTCCTAGCAGTGCATACTAAATTACTAATTGATCCTTAGGAATAATTATGGGTGTGTTCAGAAGACCGCGCTGCAAATACAACAGTCGCACGTTACACTGATGCTTGCGGCACTGTTGTTGTTGGCTGCGCCACAGCCACAGTCACGACTGCCGAACAGACCCTATATAGGATAGTATGGTCTTCTTACTACTTTTCTTATGCCCTGTTTGATTCAGTTTAGAATTATTATAATCTAGCTTATTAGGAGTAAGCTGAAACAAACAAATAGATTATTATAGCAAATTATTATAATCTATAAGCCAGATTATTATAATCTAATAAGCTGCTCTAGAGGAGCTTTTTTCAGATTATTGAGTGGCTAAAGACCCACTACCCCTACATAATTGAGAAAAATTACCCACCTATACCATCAACCGAATAGATAGCTGAGGGCATTATAGACTTTAGCCTTTCAAACCCAATAATCCATGCCTCCAATAATCTAGACAAACAAACAACTCACAGCTTATTCTATGTCAGTTTATTATAATCCAGCTTACAGTAATCTGGTTTAATAATCTAGATTATAATAATCATAGGCTAAAAGAAACATGGCCTTAATACCTACGCACAAGCCTAAAAACGATTACATTCCAAGTTAGAGAGAGTGCTCTCTTTTGAAACAAGAGCTATATTTTGGAGAGAATGGAGTATAACTATCTGCTAGATATAAAAAATAAAAGGGAAGTACGCCACACAAAAAATCATAAGCAGAGTGCGATCTCACATACGGTAGGCTGTAGCCGCCTTCATCCGGGTATGCTAGCGATCTTGTCCCATTTGTTTTCTGCGCCCTGGTGGTACGCAACGCAAGTACCCAACCCAAGCAAACAACAATCTGGCCGGTGCGAGACCGCGAGTGTTCCTCTCCGCTCTCCGCCATCACGTGCTCCGGGGCCGTACCGCCACTGCCACCCATAAAGATCTCATCTCGCCCCTGAGATGCCGCGCCCCCTACCGCGACGAAATGCCCAGGACCGACCGTGCGCTGCGCGGCGACGACTACGCACCAGCACACACCAGCTAGTCCCCCAGCGCCACGAGTTGTTGTTGCTGTAGACCTGTAGTTCGCGGACCACGCGACCTGCGCCTCTCCCGGTCGACGCCATCCATGTGAGGATTGCTCTCACCGTCGTTTTCGTTCAGGCAACGAACTAGTTAATCCGCTTCTTGCCATGGCAACGCGGCTGCAGCAGCATCACCCCATGAAATGAGAACATATCATTGCCCGGCGACACGAATCGACAACCAGCACAGCGCCACTGTGCCTCGACGGGTAATAAGTACAGTGCCCTTTTCATTCCTTGCCGGTGCCTCAGCCTCACACAGAGATGGATATATGCATATGGATGTTCTACTGCCAGTCTACCATACTACCATTACTACCAGCAGCCAAACCTGAAGAAATGGAACTGGTAGACTGCTAGAGCCGTCAAAATTGTTTCGGCTGCAAGGCTGCAGCAGCGGCTTGCCCGGCCGATGATGGCATAGATACACACGTCGCATTCAGACATTCAGACGCTGTGTATGTTGATCGCCTTTGCTACTGCTACTACCAGGAATAGGAGGGACCTAATAAGCAAAAACAGCAACAGCACTTTCACCGCTTGCTTTGTTTACAACACCAAGGTTGCCATGGTTTCAGGAAAAATTGAGCATGACGAGAGGCTGCTTTGATGTCTGTCGATCTTTCCTTGCCAAGAACTAAGATTTGGCAGATGTTCTTAAACCTCTCTCTAATCCTAATGTTCTACAAAATGGAAATTGAAAAGAAATGCAAAAGGAGATGAGATGACACGCGCTAATCGTCTCCGTCCAACTTCGCCTCCGCCGGGGAAGAGGCAACGGTTTTTTGTTCCATCACTTCTTGTCCTTGCCGGCGAGGCGCGCCGCCGCGCGCTCGGCGCGGCGTGCCTTGGCGTTGACGCGGCTGGCGGCCGAGGCGTCCTCCTCGCTCTGGAGGCGCATCTCCATGACGCGGCGGTGGGAGTTGGAGTGCAGCAGCGGCGAGAAGGTGGGGCTGTTCGCCGGGCGGTACTCCGGGAAGAGGCGCCCGGACTTGAACCGCACGCCGCACGCGTTGCACAGCGTGCGGGGGCCGTCCGGCCCGAGCCGCCACTGCGGCGTCTCATCCACGGCGCAGTGGGTGCACCGGCGCCGCGGCGCCCCCGCGTCCGCCGCCGCCGCCGCCGCCTGACGCGGGCGCGACAGAAGGGGCGCCAGGCTCCACGGAGCAGTCACCCGCCGGCGCCGCCGCAAACCCTTGGTCCTCGGCCCCACCGCCGCGCGCGCCGGCGCCCCGGGCGCCGCCGACTCCACCTCCGCCGCCATGGTGTCCACCGACGGGAACGCGTCCTTGTTCGAAAGCCACTCCAGCTCCTCCTCCTCCTCCCCTTCCCCTTGCCCCTCCCCTACCACCGCCGACTCCAAACCCTGCAAGAACCACGCAAAAAATCAAAACTTCCAGCCGCCTACCTAGCCAATACGGCAACCCAACCTCTCACACGGGGATTGGAGAGAGAGAGACGCATACCGTGTGGTCAAAGAAGCCGTTCAAGCTGGCGCCCGCGTCGCCGGTCAGCTCTCCAGCCAGCGCCGCCGCGTCCTTATCACCAACCATGTCCGCCGCCGCCGCCGTCACGACTCGGGGGATAAAGAAATGGAAAATTTTTATTCGATTTTTCTTGGCACCTCTATTTGATCCCCTGGCCTTTTTATCATCAAGCCCTTTTACCCCTTTTTGTTTGGGGTTTTTTGCTTCGGTTTGCAAGTTAAAGCAAGAGATTTTTGTCTGGGTTCTTGCGATGATGCGAGAAATCCATAGGTTTTAACGATGGTAATTACCCCATGGCGTTCACGTGGGGGTGGGGTGGTTCTTAAGTTTTGTGTCTAGCAAGCACTGTGTCTCCCTGGACGATTTGGATGTATTAGCATCTCACTAAACACGCCCCCCTTGGTTAACCAGCACCTTCCATTAGGGTTTGCTTAAGGTTTAAGCAGTGGAAACGCGCCCCAGGTGGCCAAAACAAGAACTGAATGAATGAGGATGATGCCGCCTGCCGTTTCTATCCTTTTATGCATCCTGTTTTGTACGCAGCGGTGAATGCGTTTCGTGACATATCAGGGTACAAGGAGTTTCTTGCTGTGATTGAACTGTACTCGATTTTTGCAGTTGTTTTTGTCCTTTTTTGGGTGCTGCTTAATACTCCCTGGAGTACTTAACTATTGAGTATAGACGAAGTTTGTTGGGCTGTTACGGTTCGCCTTTTTTGGCCTTTCTAATCTCTAATTTGTAACATTTTGAAATTTAAATTAGTTATAATTGTAAAAAATAGTAGGCCAAACAATTGTGCAAAAGGATTCATCATGCAATCCACTTCCTAACGAAATATTGTGTTGCTGACGAGAAAGTATTGGACAACGGGAGTAACTATATTTATAGCGTCATATTTTTCAAAAAACAAATAGTCAGCATGTACGGTCACCTTAAAAAATAGCAGGTACTAAGTGAGCAAGTCTGACGGCAAAACAACATACAAATATTTATGGGAGGGAGTTGGTTGTGTTGGTTCATTATTGCGTATCTATTAGGAATCTAAGGAATAAATAGTTATACAATTCGTTAGAAAATTAAAGCGGATATTTGTAGTTTTTAAGTTTACGGGTAAGGAGTAATTATTGTTTGTCATATCTATGTCGGGAAAAATATGCTACTTATCATTTACTATGTCCTTTCGAAGAGAACGTGCTATATTGGCTCTGTTTGGAAGCTTGTTAATGTGGTTGGGCTATAGCAACTTAAACAATGTTTCTATTGCTGATCCAGTTGTCGTAAATTTGGGGTGCAGCGTTTTGGTTGTGCAGCAATGGCTACCGAACAAAACCATTATCTCTAAAGTTAGAGAAAGGCACCACGTCAAAGGGCAGATCTACCCATTAGGCGGGGTGGGTCGATTGACCCAGCTACGACCCGTGTCGCCCCACGACTCCAAGACCCCTCTACCCTTTTATAGTAGTCATGGACCATCAAAAATAGGTAAAACAATATGTGAACTGTGAACACCCAATAGATTGAGACAATTATGCGAATGAACTATTAATACAATATGTGTTGGGTTCAATTGCTCTTGTCGAGCGAGAACATATCTATTCACCGCTCCATCTATATTGTAAAGTTGCGTCCGTCACGTGTTGTTGTGATACTTATGTATATGATTGATTTACTTGATAGAGATTTATGATATTGTCAACACTAAAAAAATCATATTTATAATTATTAAAATGGGATTGGATCTCAACAGCAAAAGAAACTAGGCGAGGGCTCATCAGCTTTGCTAATAAAATAGATGACAAAAAAGAACTGTGCATATCACATTATATGGCTCATGCATTCTCCATATCATGCCTTTGCGAGCAGTGATTGTAACTATATAAGAAAGAAAGGATAAGTGTGTTGTTTCATTTATAGTCATTGAACAAGACATATGATGTAATCTAAAGGTATGAGATTGTATTTCTTAAATATTTGTATTACAACAACAAATTACTGAAAACCTTCAATAATAGCTCGGTTTTATCCTCAAAATCCATTCAGATTCTCACCGAAGTGCAGCTCAGCGTTGGCAACCATAGCCCACCGCACAACTGCACAAGTATGTCTGATCTAGGGGAAAAAAAGGGGGAAAACCTCGGTTTATCATGGCCGCAAGCTGCACGGCAGAAGAGGCGTGTAAACTCCGCCAGCCCATACAGCCATGCGGCCCGCTCCGTGCGCGGTCCGTGGAAGCCAATTTCGCATGTGCCGGCCGCGCGGCCTCCACCGCAGGCCGACAGCGAAGACCGTCCAGCGAATGCGGCCTGCGACGCGAGGCGTCCGAGGAGTGCAGCCGCATCACGGCGAATAGGCGACCACGGCCCGCGAGGCGTACGAGGGCATCACCGCGCGACACGGTTCGCTTCGCGTGCCTTGGGCCGCGCGCATCGGGGGCTCGGAAGCGTTGGTCCGTGGAGCGGGACGCACGGCGGCTGGGCCACGCATCGCCAACCAACCGCCACGCAACGCGACGCGCGCGGATGCCGTCGTCCGCGGGCCGCGGCCGCGCAAGCGCAACGCCAAGCCGCCGAAAATTTCTTCTCAGCCATGTCGGCGAGGCGGCGAGGTAGGCAGACTCTAGACGTGTCGGTCGCTTGGAGGTTGGAGCTGGTGAAACCGGCTGTGTGTTTGGAGTTTGGTGCAAGTGCAACTGGCTTACGTGAAATAGTGAGATCGAATCAAACCGGTCCAGTTTCGTCTGTGCATCATCGATCGCCGATTGGTACGTAATGCCCATATGCACGCAGCACGCGCAAGGATTAAACCCAAATCATGCGAAGGAAGGAAATTTATCTACGGACTGCAATCTAATCATATTAATTAGCCATTAGGGCTCAACTCGGGGATCGCGGAGCAGAGAGCTCCCAACTCTATTACCAAGTGGGCACTGTTTCTGAACTATCCAGCCTTTCACCATACCAAACATATATTCTCTCCTCCTGATACTGTACATTAATACAAGCAATACTCAGTTTAATTTATGCACCAAAGCGCCCTAACTAAACAAGCATGTTCACCCAACTACAGGTGTTTGTACGTCGGAGGTTGGAGCTAGCCATATTGCCGAACAACAATCAGCAAAAGCAACACGCTTGCATGTGGCCAGCATATATACTGCAGTCTAATGAAGGGATAGATTAAGAGATTAATTAAGAGACGACGCATCCTCGCGACTTTTAATTTATCTGGCTATTGCTCGTACTCTATATGACCGAATGACAATATAAACATACAACAATATGGAATACTAATTAACTGATAAGTACTTATAAATGACATTTTCCTGCTTTATCGTGTCATAGTTTCTTATTGGCATGTTACTTTCACTAGCTAACATTGCATTTCCATAGAGGAGGAATATGTAGGAATATAACAAACGGTGATGCCCTTTGGAAACTTCCCTTGTTCAATTATAGATATCAAGGAATATGACCATATTTTATTAGCTGAAATTAGTGCAATTTGAACTATGATTCAAGCAGGAAGGAAAAAAACCACTAGTGATCGATGAGTAATGCCACACGATTAATAATGGCTCAATAATCTGCCGGCACGGAGAGAATTTTCAGAAGCTGCAAAGCGGAGGCACTTCACATGGCCCCCCATCTTAGCCCCACGCTGTCTCTCGCCAAGTCGCAATTAGAAAACGGAGAGGAGAGATAATACGAGAGAAGATGGAAGGCCATGTGTGCGTGCATGTGGGCTAGCGAAGCTAAGCTAAGCTAAGGCCGAGTTCAACCGAGTTGGAACTTGGAACGGAAGGGTGCCTGCATTTGTTGCAGTTGGTGGCTGCATCTTCTCCTGCATGATTGAATTTCGGCCACCGGCTAGTATGGCTTACACTTTCCTTGTTGCCTCTATCTTCTCACTCCTCTTCATAAATCATATTTTGTGTCTGCTTGAGCCAAACAAAGAGCACACAAATGCATCTTACATAACTGAATTACAAGAGGTAAAACGGCTGTGTCGTATGACTGAAAACAGCAGGGACTTCAGATTGTCATATGAATGAGCTGCTACATAACTCTTCAGTAACTACTACACACTGGATTTACCTTACTCGGAAAGCTGCAATTGCAGAGAATCCATTGGTATACTCCGTATCATGTATGCCTGCCAGGTGGGTCCAATAATTGTTTCCATTGCTAACATGGGAAGGTTCAGAGTTGGGCGAGTAATTGTTAGGATCATGTTGTTTGTTGTGTAATTCACCTACAGAGAAAGGATTAGTTTTTGCAGGATAGTACACTTCATAAAGGTAGAAACAGTTGGGTCAGTTGGGCTGACTTTTTGATGGGAGGACAAGGGTCCTGTTGCTGTTTGTACTTTTCAGTGCTTGTTTATAACCTGATGTCCCCCAGAGCAAAAGTATTACTAGTAGGATGGAGTATTTGCCACTGCTACATGACAACCAAACATATTTGACAGAGCAAAAGGTGAATTGTGTGAGAAATGTGTATCTTTATAGTTTATACCGTGCTGATGCATATTGTTCTTGCAGTTGCTTATCTGTTTGGCTTGTGCTCAATGTTGTGTAGTTGTTACTATAGTGGTTCCAAAACCTTTGGTGTAATACTAAATGGAATATTATAAACTGAAATTGCTTAGTTTGGTGCCCTAAGATATACAGTGCTGCTTCTGCTCTACTCCAGTTACTGCTTGTTATGATCCTAATTGATGTGTGCAACCTAGTTGATGTCCCTCAAGAGAAAAAGAACAGACGATCAGGTAAAATAATGCCATAGCTGAGCAAGCATAAGGTCAGATCATGCCAGCTTCATATTCATACCACCAAAGCGTAACATCAATCACGCCATCATAGCTATGCTTTCCAAGCACAAAAAGGAAAGATATCACACTATCTTTTTTTAAAAAGAAACATGTCTAGGGCAATGCTAATTGAAATTCTTGGACTTGCTTTGGTCTTGGAAACTATTGTAGTAGTAACAGAATAACGTTTACTGTAGTAGTAAGTAGTAACTCACTCCCAATCCCTTGTCAGAGGCATTGCTGCTTCCATATTCAGAGCAAAACATCCAAAAATAAACCTTACAAGTACAAGATTATGTACGTATTCTGTTAATGGTCAGATTCAGTATTTTTTCTAGATGGCAGGTCAATATTATTGCGTACAATGAAAAAAATATTTGAAGCGAACCCCTGTTGGTTAAGATCCCCAAATTTGACAACCTGGTCATGAAAACAGGAAACCAAAGCATGGCGTTCTCAAGAATCTAATCATCAAAAGAACAGGAGGTTCTTCCATGTGATGGAGATAATTGGTTTGGGTCTGGGCAACTTGTATACTGTGAACGCGCTTCTCTACCCCGAATACAAAGTTTGCTCTATGAATAAAGTAACAAAAAAACTTGCTCCATGAATTTTCCTTCATAATGAAGGCTGTGTTTAGATCTAAAGTTTGGATCCAAACTTCAGTTCTTTTCCATCACATCAACCTGTTATACACACACAACTTTTTAGTCACATCATCTCTAATTTCAATCAAAATCTAAACTTTGCGCTAAACTAAACACAACCTTCGGACTCTGACAACACAGCAGGTGAAAATGACAAC